AGTTTATTTATTCCTTTCTCTCATGACAGAGAGATAGATACCCACAGCAGGGTCTTCACGACAATCCCCTAGCCCCTGCCTCTGCCAGCCGGCATCACGGGCACACACGTGCCGAGCACCGAGAGATATCGGGATGCGATCTCGGGATCTGCCCGTGGGACTTCAGCTTCACGGAGCACTGCATTACTGCTGCCCCTCTGGCTGGCCTTGTTTTTCATTCTTATTTATTTATTTTTTTTATGTATTTACGACAGAAAGGGAGTGAGAGAAAAAGGCATTTCATGACAGTGTTTCCTCATGCTACAATTCTCCACCCCAGCCCACCAGTTAGCCAGGACCACAGGCAGGCACCACCGCCATTCCCAGGCTATCCAGGCTACTCTGGGACTCCAACCCGGGCCTCCCATGTGGCCCCAGCTTCTCAGAGTGATGCCCAACTGCTTGTGCCACTGCAGATATGCCCACTAGGTTTATTGTGTTTGCTAACCTGATTGATTCAGCAGAGTTCATGCTACAACTGAATTTTACAAGGAAGTGCACACACGGGCCTCAGAGAAGGTTCAGGAACCTGCCTAAAGTCTGGTCAGACAAAGACTTTCTCAGGGTTCTGGGTGCCCTCTTCCCCGCCCCTGCCCTCTTCATCCACACTCTGATCAGGACTGCTCTGCTTTGATCTAGTTTACATATGGAGTATAGATGTAAGATTTCCTCTTTTTTTTCAGTTATTGTAATGGCTATGTCACTGGACTCCCACGTAGTCAACCACGGTTCGCGTCCCAGACCCAGTGGCTTAAAACTCATGCCGGGAGCATGTGCGTGCGTGCCCAAGATCCCGAAAGGAGAATGGAGAAGGGATTGCGGCGTGACCACCCCCCTGGGGGGGGGTGATTTCTCACTTTCTGTCTCTCTGTCTCTCTCTGTCTATCTGGCAAGCACACGCACCCTATAGCAAAAGTCTCTCCAAAAAAAAAAAGAAAAAGAAAAAGAAAAAAGGTGTCCTTATGTCTTTTATGATAGAGTGGACATGCCCGAACATGAGAGAGAGAAGCACCCTCCCCCGGGTCTCCTCCCTCCAGTCCTTCGGCCCACTGGATCCGGGCACTCACACATGGGCCTCAGGCACACCAGGGAGGGGTTCAAACAGTGGCAGCTATGTGGCCTCTGGCTTCTCTTGAGCAGTACAACACCTCATGGAGTCAGCCCAAAATTTCTTCTTTATTTTTCTGGTTGCCAGAGAGCACATGCACTTGCCAGAAAGAGGAGGAGAGGGAGAAACCACCCTCCCTCCCGCCCGCCCATGGACATGGTCACACTACAATCCCCCTTTCTCCATTCCTCTATCCCGTCAGGATTTTAGACAAGCACACACATACACCCAGCATGTTTTTCAAGCTACTAGGGCTGGGATTCAAACCTTTGTCAGCCATAAGAGATCCAGCTCCTCTAACCACTAGACTATAGGGCCAACCCAGGAATTTCTTCTAAAAAAAAGAATTCTGGGACCAGCAGGTAGCATGGTGGTTTAAGATGCTAGATTCCCACATGGCCAACTGTGGCTCGAGTCCTACACCTGGTGGCTCGAAAATCACTTTGGGCACATGTATGTGTGTACCCAGAAACCCAGGAGGAGAATAAAGGAGAGGGATTGTGGCATGGCCATCCATTGTAGGGAGTGATCTTTCACTTTCCCTCTCACTGTCTCTCTGTTTTTCTCCAGCAAGTGCAAGTGCCCGATGGCAACAAAACAAAACAAAACACACACACAGACACATATATTCTATATATATATATAGAATGCTATGGCATATGAAACCACCACCACATATACCTTTACAGACCGCTCACTGAGGTCCTGAGAGAAAAAGGGCGTGGCCCATGACGGTTCAGGAAGGCATAACACTGTTGGTTGATCCTAGGAACGTGCTGTTTCCAGGACAGCATTCAGCTTCTTCTCTACCCAGCCCCGCTGCCAACATGGGGCCCATGAGGGTAGGACACCCTTTGGCAGAGGCAAAGACAGCTGAGGGTGAGGGGTGGATGGGGGTCTAGAAGGGTGCCTCAGAGGGTCAGAGGTGGCGGGATTCATCTTTCAGAGGAGTTAGCAGCCCAGACAATATGGAAAACACCAATTTGCCTCATCTAGAGAAACTTCCTAGCAGATATGGGATTATAAAATCTCCTCAAATCATCCAGAGGTCAATTTGTGGAAATATATTCTATGCTCTATAACTGAAATGATGCAGCAATACTTACTTTTCAACCCAAATTTAACTTACGTATACATTTGTAATGTACCATGCGCCCTCTGCTGGTGGAAGGTAAAACTGCACAGAGAGGCTTCCAATTTTATTCAGAGCAAACAAGGAAATACAATTACAGAACTGAGGAGCTGAAGGGACACGGGCATTTCCTAGTGACCCTCACAAAGTTGCTTGGGGACATCTGCAAAGGAAACCTAAGTGAGGGGCAGAGCGATTTCAAGAGGCAGGACTGCGGAGACATGGAGCGTGCACTCATTCTCGTAGGATGTTCAAAGTTAAAAATCATTTTCTTTAGGCCAGTTGGTAGTGTGGTGATTAAAGTGGCGGGATCTCACAAGATGGCTGATAGTCTGAGACCTGGACCCAGCGGTTGAAATTCAACACGCCAGGTGCATGTGCATGTGTGACCAAACTAAGAAAGAATGGAAGAGAAGGGACGATGGTGTGGACATTCCCCACCACCCCCACCCCCAGAGGATGATTTCTCACTTTCTCTCTCGCTCTCTCTGGCAAGTACACACACCCTACAGCAATTTTTTTTTTTAAATTGTTTTTATCAGGACCACCAGAGGGCGTAATGGTTATGTCACTGGACTCACACATGGCCAACTGCGGTTCAAGTCCTGGACCCAGCAGCTTGAAACTCACACCAGGCAGATGCGTATGTATGTGTGTGTGTGTGTGTGTATGCTCAAAATCTCAAGAGGACTAGGGACTAAGGTGTGGCCCTCCCCAAGGGGTGATTGATTTCTCGTTTTCTGTCTCTTGTCTTTCCTGCAAGTGACATGCCCTATAGCAAAAATCTCTTTTTATCCTTGGAGAGGTTTTTACTATAGGATGTGTGAGCTCACCAGAAAGACAGAGACAGAAAGCAAGAAATTACCCCCCAGGGGGAATGGCCACACCACAATGGGCACTCATGCACATGCTCCCGGCATGAGTTTTAAGCCACCAGGTCTGGGACTCAAACTGCAGTCAACTACGTGGGAGTCCAGCGACATAGTCATTACGCCAACTGCTGGTCCCACAAAAACCTCTCTTAAAAAATTGTTTTGTTGGGACCAGCAGGTAGCGTAATGGCTATGTCGCTGGACTCCCACGTAGTCGACTGTGGTTCGAGTCCCGGACCCAGCGGCTTAAACTCACACCGGGCACATGTGCATGCGTGCCCAAGTTCCCGAGAGGAGAATGGAGGAGAAGGGATTGCGGCGTGGCCATCCCCCCTGGGAAGTGATTTCTCGCTTTCTGTCTCTCTGTCTTTCTGGCGAGCGCACGTGCCCTATAGCAAAAAAATACCTCTCCAAAAAAATAAAATTGTTTTGTTGACAGAAATAACCAGCTCCATAGAAATAATTAATGTGGTTTATTACTATGTATGAGATTGAGTGACCGACCCAGAGAAAGACAGTGTAGTGTGTTCTCAGGGTGCTGAGGTGCAGTGGTTTCTTGTATTTAGTTCTGGGAGCAGGAGAGCAGCATGAGGAGCCCTTTACATTGGCCTGGCTCAAACAGGTGGGACATCTGGAGGCAGAGGCGTGCAGGCTATGGGTGAGATTGAAATTCTTAGATTAGCAATTGGTTAATGAAAAACACCAGTCTCTATTCCTGAAAGAAATCAGCAAAAGAATGTCTGTGCTTTACTCTAAGAGGTAAGAAGGCTTACCATGCAGCAGGAAACACTATGCCTGGGACAGGATGTCCCATCCTACTCTCAAAGGACCAGAGTGGTCTGCTAATGTTTGTAGACCTCAGTTATTACTTGTAGGCCTGACTCTTCCATACTCCTTGGAAACAACTTGAAATAGAAAAAAGTAGTCAGAATTCTGTCCTTATTTTGAATGTTAGTTATTATTATTTTTTAAATAACAGATTCTCGTGGTGCAGAGTTGAAAGGGTTCATAGAAAAGCTACTTAAGTCCTTTTAGCAGTCGTTTCCTCGATTCAGAAATGGGGATACTTGGGACCATGTAAAAGGCTTGTCATCAAGGCCAAAATAGCCTAATCCCGTGCACGTAGTGGGTGTTATTTGTTAACTTACAAAATGTGTATTCTAGACTGATTGCAAATATTCAACAAACTGCACACATAACTACAATACTGCTGTCTGGAGTTTTCCACCCCGTGGGTCTCAGTTCAAACATCACCTCCACAGGGAGACTTTCCCTGACTGCCTGCTTTAAAGTACTTTCCTGTCTCCCGTCACTTCTCCGTTTTCTTGTCTTTACAGCTCTGGTAACACTCTGGAATTGTCTGATTCACTTACCAGTTTATGTAATCTCTGCCACTAGAAAGTAAGTTCCATGAAATCGAGGACTATTTTTTCGGCAGAGCCATCTTCGGCCCGGCCAGATCACCTGAGGCTCACCTCCGCCCACCTCTGGCCTCAGATTCTCACTAGGCAGAGCGCCGCCTGGATCGCCCACGTGGTTCGCAGCTAAGCCCCGCCCCTGTGGGCGTGGCCCCCGACGTTGTCCCGGCGGCGCGCAGGCCGTCGTCCGCGGGAGAGGAGCTACGTCACACGCACGCAGGGCCTGTCCGGCTCCTGGTTTCTGCGCAGGCAGTAAAGGGGCGTGGCGAGGCGCAAGGCCCCCGCAGCTGCCGACGCCGCCGCCTGAGCCTTCTCCAGGTGGCTGCTGTCGACTCTCCACAGCTCAGGCAGCTCAGAAGCCACTCTGTTTTGGGGTCCTCGCCACCCTTCCACGTCTCCCGGAAGATACAGCAGGGCCACGGCCGGTCGGAGAGGTGGTTCGCCCTACCTGGGCCCTCTCTGGGCCGGGTCCTTAGGGTGTGCGGCCCGGAAGGGTGACGAGGTCGAGCTGCAGCCTCTCCGGAGTCCTCAGGTGAGGCGGAGGCGAAGGCTCATTGGAGATACGGGTCCCCTTGGGGGTGTTAACGGCCCTGAAAGTGGGGGCGTCTCTGCCTTCCTTCGAGTCGGGCTCGTCTTCGCCCACTTGGGGACTGAGGAAGGGGATAGGAGCGTCTTCTTGGGGTTCAGCCGACGTTGTTTACCGCCCTCCTTTGCCCGACTCCTGCCCGGTCTGGCTTCTTTTTTCTCTCCTGAGGCTCGAACGAGGTGGACAGGAAGCAGAGCGGGGGTCTGTACTCACCTCTTTGGGATCCAGGGGACCGACCGCTGTCTGGCTCTGCGTTGACACCCGGCGATCGGAGCAGGATCTGCCCCTACCCACGCACTGTGCCTGTGGGGCAAGGCCGGAGGCATTACTTGGCTTTTGTACTTGTGATGTCAGCCACGGTTGTCTGTCAGTTTTGCAAGCGCCCAGGGCCGTTCTTAGCATTAAGTTAAGGCAACCTTAAGGTACATGCTATTTTTTTTTAAAGCCTATTAACTTTATCATGGGAGTCAAGACATAAGGAGTTAATAAGTGTTTTGATTGTTTTATTAGGAGAGATAATTTGCCCCAATCACTTGAGTTTTATGTGTCATAAAGCATTTTGTCTCTATTTGATTTTGCATAAACTCTTTAAGTAGACACTTAATAGTCTGTACATTTTGTAAAGCACAGGTTTAAAGGAGTTTCTTTTTAAGATTACTTAGCGTTTGAGAAGCTAGCTATGGGAGGCAGGGGTTAAACAGTGGATTTGGCAGTAGGCTGGCTAAGGTTTGAGTATCTGAACTACCATCCAAACTCTAAATAAATAACTCTTATTTATTTATTTATTTTTAAATTTGCTGTAGGTCAGGCGCGTTTACTGAAGAGAAAGAAAATGAGAAAGCACACACACACACACACACACCCCATAGGAGTTGACACTCCACCATCCCTTCTCTTCCATTCTCCTTTTAGAAATTTGGGCATATACACATGCACACCAGTCTCTCAAGCTTCTGGGTTCTGGATTCTACCAGGCAGAAATGGGGATACTTGGGACCATGTAAAAGGCTTGTCATCAAGGCCAAAATAGCCTAATCCCGTGCACGTAGTGGGTGTTATTTGTTAACTTACAAAATGTGTATTCTAGACTGATTGCAAATATTCAACAAACTGCACACATAACTACAATACTGCTGTCTGGAGTTTTCCACCCCGTGGGTCTCAGTTCAAACATCACCTCCACAGGGAGACTTTCCCTGACTGCCTGCTTTAAAGTACTTTCCTGTCTCCCGTCACTTCTCCGTTTTCTTGTCTTTACAGCTCTGGTAACACTCTGGAATTGTCTGATTCACTTACCAGTTTATGTAATCTCTGCCACTAGAAAGTAAGTTCCATGAAATCGAGGACTATTTTTTCGGCAGAGCCATCTTCGGCCCGGCCAGATCACCTGAGGCTCACCTCCGCCCACCTCTGGCCTCAGATTCTCACTAGGCAGAGCGCCGCCTGGATCGCCCACGTGGTTCGCAGCTAAGCCCCGCCCCTGTGGGCGTGGCCCCCGACGTTGTCCCGGCGGCGCGCAGGCCGTCGTCCGCGGGAGAGGAGCTACGTCACACGCACGCAGGGCCTGTCCGGCTCCTGGTTTCTGCGCAGGCAGTAAAGGGGCGTGGCGAGGCGCAAGGCCCCCGCAGCTGCCGACGCCGCCGCCTGAGCCTTCTCCAGGTGGCTGCTGTCGACTCTCCGCCGCTCAGGCAGCTCAGAAGCCACTCTGTTTTGGGGTCCTCGCCACCCTTCCACGTCTCCCGGAAGATACAGCAGGGCCACGGCCGGTCGGAGAGGTGGTTCGCCCTACCTGGGCCCTCTCTGGGCCGGGTCCTTAGGGTGTGCGGCCCGGAAGGGTGACGAGGTCGAGCTGCAGCCTCTCCGGAGTCCTCAGGTGAGGCGGAGGCGAAGGCTCATTGGAGATACGGGTCCCCTTGGGGGTGTTAACGGCCCTGAAAGTGGGGGCGTCTCTGCCTTCCTTCGAGTCGGGCTCGTCTTCGCCCACTTGGGGACTGAGGAAGGGGATAGGAGCGTCTTCTTGGGGTTCAGCCGACGTTGTTTACCGCCCTCCTTTGCCCGACTCCTGCCCGGTCTGGCTTCTTTTTTCTCTCCTGAGGCTCGAACGAGGTGGACAGGAAGCAGAGCGGGGGTCTGTACTCACCTCTTTGGGATCCAGGGGACCGACCGCTGTCTGGCTCTGCGTTGACACCCGGCGATCGGAGCAGGATCTGCCCCTACCCACGCACTGTGCCTGTGGGGCAAGGCCGGAGGCATTACTTGGCTTTTGTACTTGTGATGTCAGCCACGGTTGTCTGTCAGTTTTGCAAGCGCCCAGGGCCGTTCTTAGCATTAAGTTAAGGCAACCTTAAGGTACATGCTATTTTTTTTTAAAGCCTATTAACTTTATCATGGGAGTCAAGACATAAGGAGTTAATAAGTGTTTTGATTGTTTTATTAGGAGAGATAATTTGCCCCAATCACTTGAGTTTTATGTGTCATAAAGCATTTTGTCTCTATTTGATTTTGCATAAACTCTTTAAGTAGACACTTAATAGTCTGTACATTTTGTAAAGCACAGGTTTAAAGGAGTTTCTTTTTAAGATTACTTAGCGTTTGAGAAGCTAGCTATGGGAGGCAGGGGTTAAACAGTGGATTTGGCAGTAGGCTGGCTAAGGTTTGAGTATCTGAACTACCATCCAAACTCTAAATAAATAACTCTTATTTATTTATTTATTTTTAAATTTGCTGTAGGTCAGGCGCGTTTACTGAAGAGAAAGAAAATGAGAAAGCACACACACACACACACACACCCCATAGGAGTTGACACTCCACCATCCCTTCTCTTCCATTCTCCTTTTAGAAATTTGGGCATATACACATGCACACCAGTCTCTCAAGCTACTGGGTTCTGGATTCTACCAGGATTCAGTTCAGCTGCCTTAACCGTCACACCACTGGCTTGGCCAGCTGGGATCTTTTTATATCTCATACACATTTGGGAAAAATAAAATTGTGTATAGAGATGCTTACCACCTAATGGAGTTGCGAAAGTTACACATGATAAAGATAATGTCAGCATAACATCTGGCACCTAGAAATTCCTTCCAGCATTACTTGTGAGTGCCTACTGTGTGCTTAGATGCTAGAGATTTACTGATGAGCAAAACAGATATGGCCTTTATCCAACACTGCTCCCCATCCCTGAGAAGAGACAGGAAAACAACACATACTTTGAAAACATGAAGGGCTGTGAGAAAAAAATAGGGTCTGAACAGAGAATGATGGGATCTAATTTAGGTAGAAAGAGAAGTCTCGAGTAGATGATATTCAAGTGAAGACCAAAGACAAGAAAGCTGACCGTAAGAGAGTTCAGGCAGAAGGAATGATGAGCACATCTAAGAAATGGTTTACTTTTTCATAGTGTTCTTTTCTATCATGAAATTTAATTTATTAATACTTTGTTCTGTTGTGGCAGATGTCAAGAACTTGTATGTATGGACTGAATGAATGGCTATGCAGTCATACATATGTACGTGTGGATACTTAATGATAGTACGTGTGCACACACGAGAGAGAGAAAACACCCTCAACAAGGTCTCATCACACTACAGTCCCCCTTCTCTAACCCCCCAGCTCCTCAGGATTTGGGGCTTATGATGTAACCAGAGTATTTTAGGTTAACCCCGAGATCTACCCCACGGTTGGCCATGCAGCCTTTGCACCAAAGTCCTTTATGCTAGACTGTACTGCTAGACTTCGTCAATCATACTTTTTATTCTGAACCTATCTTAACATACTTGTGGTACTTACTGAATATTTGAGCTATTGGAAATGTACTTTCAGGACCAGCAGGTGGTGTAATGGTCACGTCACTGGACTCCCACATAGTCAACTACAGTTTGAGTCCTGGATCTGGCAGCTTAAAACTCACACCGGGTGCGTGTGTGTGCGTGCCCAAAATCCTGAGAAGAGAATAGAGGAGAAGGGATTTCTGTGTGGCCATCCCCCAGGGGGTGATTTCTCACTTTGTCTGTCTCTGTCTCTCTGGCAAGTCCATGTGCCCTGTAGCAAAAAGCTCTCTTAAAAGGAAAAAAAGAAAGAACATGTACTTCCATTGAAATAGATTATTAATAATAAAAACAGTGGTGGTGGTAGCAATGGTAGAAGCACCTACTAAAGTGAGTGTGCTTACTGTGTGCCAAGCATTTTGTCAAGGGTTTTTATATATGATCTCATCTTAAAACCATTCTATAAGTACATTCACTTCCCCCATTTACTAGATAAGGTTCTTCAGCTTCAGCTAAGTAGTTTGCTCAAGATTACCTAGCTAGCAAGAGGCAGGGTTAGGATTTCAACACAGGGCTATCTGACTCCAGAACCCAGTCTTAATTACTATACTATGCTGTTATTTCCACACTGACATTTGATGTCCATTTTACAGGTTTCCCCCTGTTTGTTCGGCTGCCGTCATGTCTTGGTTTGTTGATCTTGCTGGAAAGGCAGAAGATCTTTTAAACCGAGTTGATCAAGGGGCTGCAACAGCTCTCAGTAGGAAAGAGAACCCCAGCAACAACATATATAGCAAAAAAATTGACTATCCTGAACTTCACCAACAAAATACAGATTTGACTTATCAGACTGGACCTAAAGCTACATATATTTCCTCTGCAGCTGATAACATTAGAAATCAGACAGCTACCATCTTAGCTGGCACTGCAAATGTGAAAATAGGATCGAGGACACCCGTGGAACCCTCCCATCCTGTTGAAAATGCATCTAGTCCTAGGCCTTCATCCCAGTTTGTTCGAAGAAAAAAGTCAGAACCTGATGATGAGCTGCTGTTCGATTTTCTTAATAGTTCACAGAAGGAGCCTACCGGACGGGTGGAAATCAAAAAAGAAAAGGGCAAAATGCCCGTCTTTCAGAGTTCTCGGACATCAAGTGTCAGTTCTGTGAACCGCGGTGTAGCTGCTGTCAAATCCACTGAAGAAAATTCCGGGAGCCAAAGCCATGGTAGTTCATCCGTTCTCTATTTTAAGAGTTAAGCATGTTGGATATGTCACCGTAGCCTAAAATGCTCTGATAGTCATCCACTCTTTGGGATCTGTTCCCACGGTGTAAGTCCAGACTCTTCAAGTGTGTGGTATAAATAAAGGAGACAGCACTGGATATTGTTAGTATACAGTTAGCGTAGAGACCTTGACTGTTGTCTCTAAGGTAACTTTATTCAGCCAACATCTAAGAAAATTATGTACAGCTTAGTATTGAGGGTGGCTCCTCGGCCTAGTGGTTAAGGGAGCCAGATCAACATGGCCCACCGCATGGTTCAAATTTTGGCCCCATCAGCTCGCAATACACTTTGGGTACAGATATATGCATGTCCCAGATCCTGACAGGGTGGAGAAATGGAGAAGGGATCCTGGCATGACCATGCCTCATTGGGGGGTGCTTTTTCCCCCTCTTTTCTCTGTCAAGTGCATGCATCCTCTGGCAAATTTTTTTTAAAATTTTTGCTTCCGTAAGATACTTTTAAGATTAAAAAAAGAAAATTTTGTAATTTGAAAGAAAAGTTAAGAGTTTTGATTTTGGGACCATCTCATACTCTTTTTCTTTGGGATTATAAAAATGACTGGAAGCTGTACTTCACATATGTTTTAGGTTGTGTCTTTTGGTGTTTTTTTCCTACCTACAATCTTCAGAAATAAAGCTTGAAAAACTGAACTTTGATCCAGATCGAAGAGTTGAAGGCAGTGACCCTAGTAGTGGAGTACGAGCTTAGGATTTGGTTTTCAATTAATTTACTGAAATTTCTCTACAACTCTGTCTTCTCACATGGCTACATGGCTAATTCAGATACCAGCAGAACATTTTAAAATAGCAATATACACAGGCTTTTGCAGGAGTTTTTTATAGAGTTGAGGATTATTGAAGCTTGTAACATTTGTTACAACTCCTATTACTGTATTCACTGTTAGTGAATACATTCTATCTTGTGTTCTTTGGATAAAATGTATAGAAGCAGGGCTTTGGGACTTTAAAGTCAACTGCCGTAGCATTTGGTTATGTTAACACATTCCTAAATTTCTTCTCAGTCACCTTTTTGTTTAATTCAACGTTTTTTGAGAACCAGCTGGGTACAAGGATACAAAATTGTCTAGTGGGTTAAGATAGACACATAAACATAATTCATATATAGTATAGTAAATGCAGTGATTGATGTATGGTCGATGTTGTGAAAACATTGAGGTGGAAGTACCTAATTGCTTAAGGAGCTCAGGAAAGAATTCACAAGAGGGTCTGTATTTTGCCTGAGTCTTAAAGGCAGAACAGGAGTTTTCTGTTAGAGATAGCATTCCATGCAGAGAAAACAAGTCCTTTTTTTTGTTTAGTTTGTTACAGAGTGTGTGTGCTCACTGGAGAGAAATAGAGTGAGTGGGAGAGAGAGAGAAAGCACCTCTGCATGGGGGATGGACATACTGCAGTCCCTTCTCCATTTCCTCTTGGTATTTTGGATAATGCCTTATATGTTCTCCTGTCACACATGCATGTGTGCCTGGCATGTTTTCTTTTTTCAAAACTGACAAGTCTGGGACTTGAACTGCTGTCAGGTGTATGGGATCCTATTGTCCCAATCACCATTCCACCAACTGGCCCAAGAACAGATTCTTTAAAAAATTGGTAGAGTCGGGACCAGCAGTTAGTGTAATGGCTTTGTCACTGGACTCCCACGTAGTCGACCGCGGGTCAAGTCCTGGACCCGGTGGCTTAAAACTCACGCCGGGCATGTGTGCGTGCGTGCCCAAGGTCCCGGGAGGAGAAAGAAAGAGAAGGGGTTGCGGCGTGGCCATCCCCCCTGGAGGTGATTTCTCGCTTTCTATCTCTCTGTCTCTGGTGAGTGCACGCGTCCTATAGCAAAAACCTCTTAAAAAAAAATTGGTAGAGTAGAAAAACTGTGTAGATGAAGGGCAATGAATAAAATGAAGCTAGAGGTCAGCTGGGTGGTATAGTGGTTAAGGCAGCTGGATCCCACATGGCTGACCAAATGGTTTGAGTCTCAGACCCAGTGGCTTAAACCACACCAGGTTATGTGTATGTGAGTGGAGAATGGTGGAGCACAGATTGCAACATGGTCATCCCCTACGTGGGATGCTTTGTCACTTTCCCTCTGTCTCTCTCTAGCAAGTGCACATGCCCTTATTAAATTAAAAAGAAAAAATGGAGTCAGCAGATGGCATAGCGGTTATGTCGCTGGACTCCCACATGGCCTACCGCGGTATGAGTCCTATTCCTGGTGTCTTGAAACTCACGCAGGGCATGCGTATGTGTGTGGCCAAGATTCCAGGAGAATGGAGGAGAAGGGATTGTGACTTGGCTATCCCCCTGGGGGGTGATTTCTCAACTTTCCTTTCACTGTCTCTGTTTCCAGGATAGCATGTGCCCTAAGGCAAAATACCTCTTAAAAAGAAAAGTAAATGAAGCTAGCAAAAAAAGTTGGGACCTGTTTGTGAGGGCCTTTGTATCACAGTGTTACTTGCATAAAGCCATTACAGTATTTCTATAGATCATTGTTAAAGATGGGCCCTGAACAAGCGGTTAGAATCACATATGTGATTTATAAAAAATGAATTATTGGGTAACTCCCCAGACTTCCTGAACAGGTTTTCTAGGAATGCAGCCAGGGTATCTGAATTTTTTCTTGTTTCCAGGATGGTTTTAGGCCAATGAAAGTTGAAGTGACTGTCATAGACAGTCATAGACTGTCACTTGACTGTGATGTGAATAGAGGTCCTTTTTCTTAAATTTTCTTTATTCATGATAGCATGTGTGCGTGCACATGTGGGAATAAGAGCGAGAAATGAGCACTCCACAGAGTCTGGTTACACTGTGATCCCCTCTCCCTTCCTCTAGCTCATCAGATATTGGACAGATGTGTGCTGTGCATGTGTTTCAGGCTGCCTGGTGGGGACTGGAATCATGGTTGCCCTATGAGATCCAGCTTTTCTTGAACAGGACATTACTATTGCCCCATGGAGCCAGCCCTAATAGAGGTCTTTAAGCTAAGAGTTGACCTGAATTATTTTTCTACTTTGAAGGAAAACAATTTGCATTTGATTGTGAAAATTGGGCTGAAGGGGACCTGGCAGGGAAATGAACTAGAACCAGTTATGTACTTGAGGGTTACAGAGATTAAGTCTGCTTCCCTAGGGGAGGGTCTCAGCCTCATGACTTCTAACATTTTGGACCCACTGGTTCACTTGTGGAAGGCTGTCTGTCTTTTGTAGGATGTGTAGCAGTATCCTCGATCTCTTAATTCATTAGGTGCCAATAGTACTTTCAGTTGTGACAACCAAAAATGTGTTTACATGTTGCCATATATCCCGGGAGGGGCAAAACCATCCCAGGTTGAGAACCAGTGCCCTGGGATGCCTGGAAATGTCTAGTAATGAAATCGCTGAGTTGTAGGATGGGACAGTGTTGAAAGTGAACGTTTTTTAAATTCATTCATTATTATTTTTTAATTTGACCAGAGAGAGACAGAGAGAGAGAGAGAGAGAAAGTGAGAAACCAAGCCACCAGGTCCAGGACTCAAGCTGTGTTTAGCCCTATAGGAGTGTCCAGTGCCTTAACCACCACGCCACCTACTGGTCCCCCAAAGTGAACATTATTGTACTTGGCTTTTTGTGGGCAGGTGTTTTCATTTCTCTTGGGTGAATATCTGGGACTGAAATTGCCGGGTAAAACAGTAAGTACATGTTCTGTTTCATTAGAAATTGTGAAACCTCTTACCACACTGTTTATACCATCTTTTACTCCCATCAGCAATGTGTGAGAGTTCTGTCGCTCCGTATCTTTAGCAGCACTTGGTGTCGTCTTTAATTTTAGCCATTTTACTGGGTATGTATTGATTCTCATTATGATTTTAATTTGCATTTCCCTGATCACTAAAGATGTTGGTGAACTTCCTCATGTGACTATTGACCAATTGTTCAATTGAAAAGTATTAAGTCTTTCGCCAATACATTTATTGTCTCAGTTTGGTCATTATATAGTTCACTTTTTATCATATAATTTTCAAGAGTAAGTAAAAAAATAGTACTTCTGTTACATTTAGTAACAAGTTAAAAACCAAGATGAATCTGAATTCAGGAGGCTCTTTGTCTTTGAGCAAGATGTTCTAGCTTCCAATTTGATACATAACAAACTGACATGATCTGTTACTACCCTTCTTGTCTTGAAACCCACAGCTCTTATGTTATGCCTCACATTTTCAGTGTCCAGACTTTTCTGTTTTCAAAAACATTTCAGAGGCAAATGGAAGACTGAAACCCTTTTTACCTACACCCAACCACTCAAATTACTAGGTTGCCCGGAAACTAATGACATATTTTTCTATGTTTTTCTGCACAAAAATGCATCATGATTTTCCAGACAATCTAATATCTTTGGTATTCTTTCCAGGACTGTAGTCTTGTATTCTCTGTCACCATTCATTCAGTTTATCGAGACTGAGGATGCCAGAGGCTCCATTTATGAGAATGAATATTCATCAGAAGGAAGTCTACTGTGAATTTAAATAACATCTTATAACATGGTAGCCAGAGGATCAACTTGAGCCAAAAGGCATTCTATCAAATTAGGCCACTAATGTAGTTGTAGTGTGCTTGCTAATGTAATAATTTTTTTTTTTTTTTTTTTAACAGAAGCTGCTGATAATTCAGATTCTGGCCTGGAAGGCCAAGGCGATTCCTCAAAGGAAAATGCGCCATCAAACACCCCCTGTTCCGATCACAACCCGACACCTAGTGATGATGGCAAATCACATGAACTGTCTAATCTTCGACTGGAGAATCAACTGCTGAGGAATGAAGTTCAGTCTTTAAATCAGGAAATGGCCTCATTACTTCAAAGATCCAAAGAAACTCAAGAAGGTAGAGCCTTATATAAATTGTTCAGGATTAGAAATTTAATTTTAAAAAATAAAAACTTTACATCTACAGTATTAAGAAGAGTTTATATGAGGTTTGTAAAATGATATTTTTATGGGTCCAGCAGTTGACATAATGGCTATGTCACTGGACTCCCATGTAGCTGACTGTGGTTTGAGTCCTGGACCTGGTGGCTTAAACTCACGCCAGGTGCATGGGCGGGCATGCCCAAGATCCTGAGAAAAGAGATTGCAGCATGGCCATCCTCCCTGGAGGGTGATTTCTCGCTTTCTTTCTCTCTGTCTCTCTCTCTCTTTCTAGGGAGTGCACACGCTCTATAGCAAAAACCTCTCCCAAAAAAAAAAAAAAAGATATTTTTATAAAAACACAGGGTCCAGATTTGGAAATGGGACCAATTATCCTTTCACAAACCTGAAACAGAGTATTGGCTTGTTCGGTCACCTTTAGGAACCATGAAATTTAAGAGCTGAGAGGAGCTAAACATTAGAAATGATGTAGTTCACTTGATTTCTTTATTCTGAACTTTCAAGAGAACTGTTCCATGAACCAAAGATGGGATTAAGCAAAGAAATGAATTACTAGGCAGGTCGCAGTGTTGCTGCTCTCAGGGATAGGCGGAATTCCTTCAGGAAATGTGCAGTGAGGTGACCCTGGAGTAGAAAACTCAGGTTCCTTAGAAATAGGAATCAAAAAGGAAATAACCTAACCATAGGAAAAGCTATGAACGTTATTATATGCGGCTGAGGAGAAAACCAGAGAAATGAAACCCTGGCCTTGGTTCCTGGGACTCATTAAAAAGGCATGAAGAGACAGTGGGGAAAGTTTTGCTAGGTATGGTTGGAGACTAGAAGAGCAAAACGGGAAGACAGTGGACTAGTCAGATTGACTTTAGAAAAAGCTTCACTGTGCTGGGACTGATGAAGACACAGAAACAGCTTTTCCTGAGATCCCCTAAAGATTGTTTCAGTACTTCATTATTTTTTCTGCTGGCAGACTGCAGTTGTGGATGATTTCTGCAGTGTGGGAATGCCATACTACATTGCCTCTATGCACCAGTTTCCCAGGTTAAAACAATGACATCTTTTTGCACTGTAATTGGAAGAAACAGTTTAGAAAGTTTCTTCTCTGTGTTTATAGGTTTTGTTTTCCCTTGTTTTGTTCTTGCTGAGATGTGTCTTTGACTTGGGTTTCTGTTCTTTCCCTTGTCTCTAGCAGAACTCCACCAATTCACTGGCCAATGGGCCATTTTAGTGTTAACACTGTGCTCTACTAGTTTGGCTTCCAGATGTTGTGGTATATAGCTCCAATAAATAAATAAATAAACAAACAACATTGTAGAAGATCAGCTAGCTTCATGTCCTTTTTTTTTAACCTATTGACTATAATATAGGTGTGAATATTGGCCTTGAAAAATGGGTGTCCCGTTTGAGGAAAACAAAAAAAGTCCAATTAACTTTGGCAATAAGTAGAATACACAAAGGACCCTAACGAGAATCTATGTGTGCTCTGAGAAAGACATGTTTCATTTTGCTTCTATAGAGAAATGTCATTATTTTTTTTTTTAAAGAATTAAACAAAGCAAGAGCAAGAGTTGAGAAGTGGAATGTTGACCATTCAAAGAGTGATCGAATAACTCGAGAACTCCGAGCTCAGGTCGATGACCTGACTGAAGCAGTGGCTGCGAAGGATTCCCAGCTGGCTGTACTGAAAGTGAGACTGCAGGAAGCTGACCAGCTACTCAGTGCTCGCACGGAAGCATTAGAAGCCTTACAGAGTGAAAAATCACGGTAAGTAGTTCTATTGATGGACAAAAAAGGAAAAAACCATGAACTACAGCAATTCTCTCTTTCTAGTACAAGTGATGATAAGCATTGTAGCGCATCCTACCTTAGGAAAATTTAGCTTTTTGGAAACTTACAAGCATAACAATTTCTTTGGTAGTGTTGGGAGTGTGTGATTAAAAGGAATTCTTTGGGGCAGCCCCACATGACCCTTAAGGCCTATGCATAGGGAGCTGGATTCCATGTAGCTGACTGCACTTTGAATCCCAGCTCTGGCAGCTTGAAAACATGCCAGATGTGTGTGCACATGTGCCCCAAATCCTGAGTGGATGGAGAAATGGAAGGAATAGGACTGCAGAGTGACAATACCCCATGGAGGGAGGGAGTCCCTTTTTTTCTCTCTCCTTCCTCCTCTTTCTCTCTCTGAGGAGAGTACACACTCTCTGGCAATAAAAAGAAATAGAACCATCATTTGATGAACCCTGAAATATGTGAGCAAATTCTTAACTTAAAAGTAATTGAAGAGTATAGTTAGCATCATTAATCTTTCAATACGTGATAAATGCTTATACTTGGATGCCTGAAGTATAGATCACATTTCATTAGAAAAGGAAAAGATTCCTCTAAGAATGATTCAGTGAAACTGTCCTATTTTATGCTTGGCCAACAAGAAGATGCTCTTATTCTACCTATCATTGTACACTGTGAAATGAGTTATTTCACAAGGTGCACTTTCTCTTAGAATAATGCAGGATCACAGTGAAGGCAGTAGCCTACAGAACCAAGCTCTGCAGACCCTTCAGGAGAGACTACATGAAGCGGATGCCACACTGAGGAGAGAGCAGGAGAGCTATAAACAGATGCAGGTAAGAGTGGGAGACTGTGGGGTTGCCTTGTTACTTGGACAAGGAGGGATGGCTTTGTGCTGCTTCATCACACATTTACTCTGCTAAATTCTGCAGTGCATTTGAGAAAACTCTGTTTCTGTGCCCAAATCTGATATTCAAAAAATTAGCTCAGTCCTTCCTGAATTTATTAATTTTATATGTTGAGATATAGTTAAAATAGTCAATATTCATTAGAGATACATAACACATATTTTACTTAATTTGGTTGTGCAACAACCATTACCATTATTTGATTAAATATTGATTTTAGGGGATCTGTTTACTCTTTTTACTTAAGCTTTTTCTGCTTTCAGTTTAATTGGATTCATTTATTCTAAGGGCATAAATAATGTGCATACACTTACTGAGAGTACTTATTTACTTAAATGAATTTTTGCATCTAGTTCAGTCTGGGGCTTGTCTACACATTAGAATCACCCATGTGGTACTTTCTACTGCCAGATGTCTGCCCCCGAGAATCTGATTCTATAGTATGGGGTAGGGCCTCAGGATTGGGGTTTTGGTTTGATAAGATTCACAAGTTTATCTCACGGGCAGTCAGGGTTGCAAACCCCTGGTCTGAGTTGTCTTTTCAACAGGTAAAAATAGTTTAGCTTGAAAGTGAAGATTAGGTAATGTGTTCTGTGTTTTTTAAATTTTAATAATATATTTTATTTAATACAGCATATCTGCAGTATTACCATCTCAACATGTAGTTAATATCAAAAGTTATGAAAGGATTTTTTTCTTTTGCATACTGATTCTTTAAAATATGGAGTAATTTATACTTATACCATATCTCAATCTAGCCACTACATTTTTTTCTGGGAATACTTGGTCTGCACTTAGATTTCATAAAATTTATAGATGAAAAAAGTAGATTCACATACACAAGTTGTTCTAAACATCCTTGGAAGTTTCCTCAAAAAGTTAAGCACAGGGTTACCATATAATCTAGTAGTTCTCCTCCTAGATAAGTACCCAAGGGAATTGAAATTCTATGTTCTTATGTGCATAAGTGTTTATAGCAACATTATAATAGCCCCAAACTGGAAGTAATACAAATGTCCATCTGTAATTACATGACTAGACTGTGGTAGCCATACAAGGAAATACCACTCAGCCATAGAGAGAAGTGCAGTATTAATACACGCATGGGCCTACAGCATGATGAGCCTTGAAAACATTAAGATAAGGTAAAAAAGACTAACACGAGCCAGTCCGGCAGCTCAGTGGATCCCACATAGCTCACCATGGTTGGAATCCCAGCCCAAGACTGACACAAAAAGCCACTTACTGATTCCATTTTTATGAAATGTCCAGGATAGGCAAGTTTGGAAAGAAAGAAAGTAAATTAGTGGTTTCCAAGGGCTGAGAGGAGGGAGGAATGGATGCAGGATTTATTTTGGGTTGATGAAAATACTTGGGGATTAAATGGTGGTTACTACTTGGTGAGTACACTGAAAAACCATTGAACCATACATCTTATTAGGGTGAACTTTATGGTGTATGAATTATATTCTAGCAATTCTGTTACTCAAAAAGTTTCCCAATAATAGAATTACACATTGTTATGTTTCAATTTAAATTAATTACAATGAATAAACCAAAACATCCCAGTCTGTGATTGCATTAGACATATTTCACAAGCTTAGATTTCAGCAGTAGCTCCTGTTCCTTCTCTCCAATACAGGAGTTAATCTTGGACCAGAAGTGTATGGGCTCTAATTATTGACAAGTAACTATCAAAGCTTTCTGACTTCTGAGTTTTTTGGTGATGGGAGTTTTTGAGAATAAAGGTAACAATTCCCAGAACTGAGGGGGATTTATTTCTTACTAGGCTAGTAAATGATAGGCCATGTGTTTTGCAAAGTGTGTTTTCAAAGTTTTTTAAACTAAAAAGTTCCATCAGATAATTTATCGGAAACTTTGTAAAAGAGGAAAACATTAGCTATGATACTGGAAAAGATCTAGCTATTTACTCAATTCTTGTACTTTTAAATAGACTTAATAAGTTTTCTGCCTTTGATTACCTAGTATTAGACTTGACCTAGTATCCAAGTGACCAGATTCACCTGGGAAATTTCTTAAAAAACAGATTCTCAAGTCCAGTCTTGGAAATTCCAGTAAGGAAGTTTGGGAAAGGCCTTGAGTGGACGCATTTGTAACATGCTCCCTGTTGACTTTGATGCATTGGGAGTCACAACCTTAGGTTTCTCATTCTTTATCTCCTAACAAATGTAGAATTTTTTTCTCCCCATTATGTTGTTGGGCTAAGCTAGTAAATCCTGCAAGATATCTGAATGGATGTTTGTAAAATAGATCTCAAAGATGAATGAAATAATAAGTATGATATAAAATGTATCACAGAGCGAGTTCGCTGCACGCCTTAATAAAGTGGAAGTGGAACGTCAGAATTTGGCAGAAGCAGTTACTCTAGCAGAAAGAAAATACTCAGATGAGAAGAAGAGAGTTGATGAACTTCAGCAGCAAGTCAAGCTATGCAAGTCAAACTTGGAGTCTTCTAAGCAGGAATTAATTGACTACAAGCAAAAAGCTACTAGAATACTCCAAGTAAGCCTGACACGTGCATGTCTGATGTTGAGGTGTGCCAGTTAACTGGGCGACACAGAGGCTCTGTGTAGACGCAGTGGGGTATGTGTGTGGCTGGACTGGCTCACTGCAGGGGCCTTGCTGGACTTAGAAATCTTATAAAAAGGGTGAAATGTCTCATTCCCATCGCCTTTTCCCCTTTAATTCGTTCTGCTACTAGTTTTTTGGTTCTGGTCTTCAGCCTATCTCCTTAATCACTACGATGATATTCGCATTTACTAAACCACCAGTTATTCTTTCTTATTGAACCCCTTTGAGTTTTTCAGAGAAATTATTTAGACTTCATCCAACTCTCAAGAGTTACCCCCACCTAGCTCTTTCCCCTTCTCTTAGATCTAAAGTGACCCTACCTTCTACTTTACTGGAAAAAAAAATGCAGTCATCTAATGTAGTTTTCAACTTCTTTCCTTTTTCTCTTATATCAAAGGGAAACATGTCATTTCATTTTTTTCTGCTAGAATAATTTTTCTGCCTGTGCATTGGTTCCTCCATCTCCTCCCACCTCCTTGCAGCTTTTAGCCAGAAGTCTGTCCTCTTCCTCCCTATCTCTCTGCTCTTCCTGGCTCTGCCTACTCAAACCACATGGTTGTTTAGTGGAAGAATGAAAACTAGGTCTTAGGATTTTTGACTTAAAAAAAAATCCTTTAGGGAACCAGCAGTTAGCGTAATGGCTATGTCGCTGGACTCCCACATAATCGACCGCGGTTCGTGTCCCGGACCCGGTGGCTTAAAACTCACGCCGGGCGCGTGTGCATGCGTGCCCAAGATCCCGAGAGGAGAATGGAGGAGAAGGGATTGCGGCGTGACCATCCGCCCTGGGGGGTGATTTCTCGCTTTCTGTCTCTATGTCTCTCTCTGTCTGTCTGGCGAGCGCACGCGCCCTACAGTGAAAATCTCTCAAAAAAAAAAAAAAAACTCCTTTAGCTTTTTGACCACTTCAAACATTTTCCTATCCTCCTCCTCTCTCTCAATATCACAATAACAGAATTGTATAGATGCTGTCTTCATCTCCCCAGAACTCAACTTTAATTCCTTAATATACTTTCCTACTACATATACGAAATTGACTTCTCCAGAGTCTTTTTCATTTGTTGTTTTAAGAGAGAGATTTTTGCTATAGAGCTTGTATACTCACTGGAGAGACAGAGAGACAAAAAACAAGAAATCTCTCCCCAGGGGGATGCCATGCCGCAATCCCTTCTCCATTCTTCTCTCAGGATCTTGGGCACACGTGCACATGCGCCTGTCGCAAGTTTCAAGCTTCTGAGTTCAGGATTCGAACCGCCATTGGCTATGTGGGAGTCGAGCAACGTAACCACTAAGCCATCTTCTGGTCCCTCTTCAATGTCTTCAATGACCTAAATATACCATCTCTGTCCTTTTCTTAGTTTTCATGTATTTTGATTTTGGTAGGGCACGCAACACAGCTAACCCTTCACTTTCTGTGCCACTCACACTCGGTTTCACTCTTTACCCTTTCCTGCCTCTGTTTCTGTCTTGCTTGGGCCCTATTCCCAAGCTCCAAAGAGCGAGGATCTTCTTAAGTCCAGTTCTCTCCTAAACCCTCTGTTACCATTCTTTCTTACCTTGAATGATTATATACTCACTCTACTTTTATCTGTCACCTCCATGTGACTGCAAGCATGTCTCCAACTATATCCTCCTGACCAAGTCTCTGGCTGCCTGCCAGGTAGGCGTAGTTTGTCTTAACCTTCTAATCAACTCCTTCATTCTGCTGTTTGGTTAAAATTATTGCCATCTCTCAGTGAAGCTTGAAACCTCAGGATCATTTTTGACTCACCTGTTTCCTTGAGCCCACATCTCCTAAAAGCTGTGAACACTTTTTTTTTTTTAATTCATGATAGAGCACATGCATGTGTATGAGACAGAGACAGAGAGAGAGAGGTGCTCTCCACGGAGTTTGGCCATGCTGCAGTCCCTGTTCTTCAGTCCTCCAGCCCACCGGATTCTGGGTACAAGCACATGGACCCAGCATCTTTTCAGGCCTACCCGAGACTCAAACCGTGGTTGGGCGTGACTTAAACCATGGTTGGCCATGTGGTTTCCAGTTCTGTGGTTTGATGTGCTACCAACAGCACCACAGAGGCTGGACTGTGAACTCTACAGATCCCATCTCCATGAAATACCGTAGCCGTGGGGGGCGGTAGGTGGCGTGGTGGTTAAACACACTGGATTCTCACATGGCTGACCGTGGTTCAAGTCCAGGACCTGGCAGCTTGCATTCTTGCTTTCCCTTTCTCTCCTCTTTCTCTTTTCTCTCTCTGGTCAAATTAAAAAAAAATAATAATAATAACAAATGGAATTAAATAAATATTTTTAAAAATCTAAAGAAAAAAAAACCCATATCCATTCGATGTAAGCCCTTCTTTCTGATTATAACTCTAATTTGTTAATTCATCGAAAAGGTACTTATTGAGCACCTGGCTATGCACTACACAATGGTAGGTGCTAAGGATTCAAAGCTCAAAAGATCCGTTCTCTTCCTTTATGGGAGCATCTAGTTTGGTGGGGGAAAACTACAGTATAGTATGAAAGTTATTGATGCAGTACAGTAGAAGCTTGCGAAAGAAACCCTTGAAATTTGCCTAGGATGTCAGAGATCACCACACCAAGGAGATGCCGTAGGAAGAGAAACGTGGAGGACGAGTTGGAGGACCCATGACAGGGAGGAGGAATCAGCTAGAACAGCCTGTGCCATGGGGGAAGTACAAGGAGTTCCCTTCAGCCGGGGCATCACGTGTTAGAGACGGGAGATGAAAGTCAGCAGAAGCCAGTTTGTGGACGGCCTGCATGCCATGCCAAGGAGTTTTGATTTTATCCTCTAGGTGATGGGGGGAGGAGGCATTAAGGAATTTGAGTAGCAAGGTCAGGTTTGAGTGTAGGAACTGTGGCAGCAAAGAGGTTAGGGGAGAGTTGGACTCTGTCTTGTCCTTCCCCAGCACAGTGCCTGGTACTTGATATGGTTTTGGATGCTCTGCAGGGATAAGGACGGGATGGTGAGGTCATAGATGGTAAAGAGGTGATTATAAGAAGCGAGGACCTGATCAGGTTTGTGGCAGTGAACATGGCAAGTGGGACAGCTGAGAGATTTTTGAGAGGTAGAATATGTGAGACTGAAGATTTAATTGGACGGAGGGAGAGAAGCAAGTGGAATTGAGAATGATCCCAGGTTTCTGGTTCAAGAGTCTAATGATGTTCCCTTCTTACTAAAGGGACATCAGGACACAGGAGGTTAGGGTTGAAGGAGATGATGACAGATTATGGTGAGCTTGCAAAACTGATGTGACACTGAGGTCAAAGTGTCAGGAAGGTAATTAGAAATGCAGGTTTGTGGGACCAGCAGATAGCATAATGGTAACATCCTGGACTCCCATGTAGTTGACCATGGTTTGAGTCCCAGACCCAGTGGCTGAAAACTCATGCCGGGCGTGTGTGCGTGCATGCCCAAGATCAACGAGGAGAATGGAGGAGAAGGGATTGCAGCATGTCCATTTCCCCCAGGGGAGGTGACTTCTTGCTTTCTGTCTCTCTGTCTCCCCGGTGAGTGCACATGCCCTATAGCAAACATCTCTCTAAAAATAAAAATAAAAGTTACAGGTCTGAACTTTAGTAAGCGGTGTGGCCATTAATCATGTGGGGATGGCCGTGTGATTTAGGAGAGTAGATAAAATTAACAGTCAGAGAGGGAGAAGGGCTGAGGCCCAGGAACACAGTCCAGAACATTTACGAGAAATAAACACTGAGTAAAGGGAGTGGTCACAGGGTGGGGAGATTTAAGAGGAAATAGATGCCATCCAGGGAGGCCAAGCAAGGGGAGAGTTTCAAGTGGGGGATGACCGTCAGATGCCATACAGATGGCTCTGAGGTGGCAGGGACTGAGCAAAGGTCTCTGGTTTGACATGGAGGAAGTCCCTGGGGACTTCACAAAAGAATATTCCAGGATACTTTGGGAAGCGAAGACAAAGACAGTGACCACTTGACTATGGACAAGGACAGGATGATAGCTAGATGAGGATGTGAGGCTAGGCAGTTTTTATTTTTTTTTCTATTTTTTAAAAAATAACTTACAAGGGCCAGTGGGTCCCACATGGCTGACCATGGTTTGAATCCTGGACCTAGCAGCTTTACACTCATGCTAGGAACATGTGCATGCATATCCAAAATCCCAGGAGGAGAAGGGATTGCGGTGTGCTATCCCCCCAGGGGGTGATTTCTCAATGTCCCCCTCACTGTCTCTATCTGTCTCTGTGGCGAGCACATATGCCCTAAGACAAAAGCCTCTAAAATTTTTTTTGTAAATCCATAGGCCATTTGGCTTGTGGAGCATGGTTTGTGAGCACCTGCCTTAGAGCACTGCCATATTAACCCTACTAAAATGCATCCCTGGTCATATCACTCCCCTGTCTACTTTTTGGTAATTTGTTCTTGCCAAGTAAAATGAAAATGTTTTAAACTAGCTTCTGGAGCCGCCCTAATGGACCGTCTGAACTGCGTCTCACAGCACTTCTACAGGTCCTTTCCACTCCACAGGTGCTTTTGTGTTTTTATGCTTCGCCCTCTCTTTTCTCTACACCTCAGAAAGATCCCAGCCATGGATAGCAGATGGCTGGACTACCACGTAGTTGCCCGTGATCCAAGTCCCGAACTGGGTGGCTTAAAAGCTCAGGCCAGGCGCGTGTGTGTGTGCGTGCCCAAAATCCTAAGAGGATATTGAAGGAGAAGGGATTGCAGTGTGGCCATCCCCCCCAGGAGGTGATTTCTTTCTTTTTCTCTGTTTCTCTAGTAAGCACACGTACTCTACAGCAAAAAAACTCTAAAAAAAAAAAAAAGAGAGAGATCCCAACCATATTTCTTTCTTTCTTTTTTTTGTAGAGGGTTTTGCTATAGGGCACATGTGCTCACCAGAGAGACAGAAAGTGAGAAATCACACCCCCCCCGGGGGGGGGGGGGGGGCCCAAACCACAACACCTGGGATGGCCACACCACAATCCCTTCTCCTTCATTCTCCTCTCGGGATCTTGGGCGGGCACGCACGCACACGCGCCCGCCCGGCGTGAGTTTAAGCCACCAGGTCCGGGACTTGAACCGTGGTCAACCATATGGGAGTCCAACGACATAGCCACGCTAACTGCTGGTCCCTGATCCCAGCCATATTTCAAGGCCAGCATAAAGTAAAGCCTTCTCTTCCTCAGACTTCTTCAAGTAATCTGATCATATGCCCTCTCACCTTGTTTGTATTGCCTTCTACTGGGTATTTGTAACTTCCCATTTAGTTTCTAAGTCCAAGGGTACTATCCAGAGTGAGAAATGTTACCTTCATTGTACTGAGAACTTAGTGCAGTCCCAAGCCCATTATGAGCGTTCCTTAAATATTTGTTTTGTAGAATGTAGTGGGGAAGGAAGGGAAAGCATGAGAAGAAAGTATGAGAAAAATCTTATTTTTGACAAGGTTTCAATAGTACCATGACTGTGGGGACTGAAATCCAGGGCCTTTGTACAGCAGGGCTCTATTGCATTTTTATCTCCGTGGATTTTTTTAATAACCTGTGAACTTTCTTTGATGGGATAATTGGAATATTTTCACAGTGGGTTAGTTTCTGTGTGGTAGATGATACTCCATATACATGCTAACCTCTGCTTTGCTTAAACTTTTTCTTTTATACTAGTCTAAAGAAAAATTGATTAACAGCCTGAAAGAAGGCTCTGGCTTCGAAGGGCTAGATAGCAATACTGCCAATAGCGTGGAGCTAGAAGAACTTCGGCATGAGAAGGAGATGCAACGGGAGGAAATACAGAAGCTGATGGGCCAGATACATCAGCTCAGATCCGAATTACAGGTGAGAGTGCTTCACGCCACGGACACCGTTACCGGCTTGAACAGTTTGAGAGATGGTGGATTCTGTATTTGTGGGAAAGGGCATTAGTGAAATGATGTGTGATAATCCTCTGCTGGAATATTAGGTGCCATATAGAAGTGAATCTAAAGCAAAGACAGAGGTTTCTGGCCCACTGATTGTAAAGTTACGGGGATAAGAAGCACAGGTAACCCAGTCGTTCATCCAGGAGCTGTCTACCAAGAGCCTGCCATGTACCTTGGCTTGAAATTAATAACAGAGAACCAGACAATTCATATTTATGTGTCTTACATTCTAGTGATTGAAAATAGATTAGATTGGACTTGTCTATAATACTGGGATATTTCCTGATCACTAGAACAGGCTCAGTGATGGTCTATTAATTAGTTTTATTAATAATTTTATAATTAATGATTTTATGTATAATTACTATATTTAAAAGTAAAATTCAGCCACTTATTTCACATAAACTTGGGCCTTTAACATAGTGTCATAGGGAGTCTCTGAGGATGAGAGAAGACAGTGCAGATAATGAGTCTTTCTTTAAAAAAAAGACAAACTTTTTTCCAGGAATATCCTCTGTGTTAACTCTGCCTGTTGTTGATTTGTAAGACTTACGTGACCTACACAGAGAAGTGTGGATGGAGGTTCTGAGAATTGGGTATCTTGTCCTGAGTCCAGACATGAATATTAGACAGGCCTGGATGTGGATCCTGTCTTTGGTACTTAACAGACACGAGGCACGAAGCACTTCCTCCGCCGCTGAGCCTTAGTTTTCTCATCTGCAGGGCTCACAGCAGAGGCTCTGTCGACAAGAAGGGATCAAATGTCAAGGGCCTATCATTGTTCCTGACATGTAACAGACCCTCAGTACACAACAGCTGCTACTTATTTCTGGATTTTTTTCTTACCCTTCAAAATAGGAATTTTTTCTTATCTACAAATAGTTTTGAATTCCAAAGAGGTCAGTTCTATGAATTTAGAAAGTAGGTAGAGGATAAGCTTCCTCATGCCTGCGCTCACCCCTGTGAGATGATGGAAAATAGGATTTTTCTTTTTTTTTTAAAAAAAAGAATTATTTAACTTTATTTATTTATTTTCATTTGACCAGAGAGGACAGAGTAAGAGAGAGAGAGAGGGAAAGTGAGAAAGCAAGCTGCCAGGTCTGGTACTTGAACCATGGGGTCAGCCATGTGGGAGTCCAGCACCCTAAATCACCATGCCACCTGCTGGCTCCAGAAAGTAGGATTTTTCTAGTAAATATTTCATCAGCATCAGTAATGACGTTGACTCATTTTCCTACCTCTTCTCAAGAAATGTATGAAGTATGTAATAAAAAGTTTTAGGCCTAGCAAAATGAAAGAATTGTTCATAATTACAGTGGCTATCATTGCCTGAGCGCTTATGCGCCAGGCACTTACCCAGCCCTGGACAACCTTCCGTATATTACTTACCGTAATCCTGTGAGAGAGACAGTGTTCTCATCTTATGGTTGAAGAAGTTTAGGCACAGAGAAGGAAAGGCACTTGCCACAAGATTGGTATGTGGCAGAGGAAGGATAAGAACCTGAATCTGCCTTAACTCCAGAACATGTATCCTTAACCACTGTGCATACTGCCTGCCTCTCAGGAAGTTACCTGATTGAGTCAAATTGATGACAACAGTTAATTTACGTTCTGCTAACCCTGAAACTCAAAGGTAGAGAAAAGTTACTGTAATTATTGCTTTTTTTCCCCTCTAAGTCTGCAAAGTTAAGAGATTGAGCTCTAATTATTTAGGAGTGTTGTTAATCTCAGTTCTTTCTATGTGGATGTTGGGATGAGTGCAAAGCAGAATGTATCAAAAGAACACAAAATTGAGTTGTTGACTTTAATCTCCTGTGTTCTATATGAATGGATTTATGCTTGGCCCACGACCCACATAGGGAAAATACAGAAACCTAGAGTTGTTCTTTGCCACTACTAGATGTCACAGGAAATTCAGAAAGTGAATTTTGAGTTTAAAGAAGTGAGAGTAAAACAAATATGAGAAAACTTGAAGTCAAATAATAGTAATAAAGTTAAAGGAAGAAAATAATATGCTAACCTCAGGCAATATGAGGAAAATGTTGCGTTCTCTTGGATATTGAGTAGTGGTCCACACACACATTCATTCTCTCCTGTAGTTTCAATGGACTAATGTAGCAAAGTCCTTTCCGGTGTTCTCTTTCTTTTCAAAATCATTAGCTTTTGAGTGGAGACATAAACCTGAGTGAGTCGCGGGCCTCACATTCAGAACCCAGGTGGTTTATGTGCTGTGGCAGCTGGAGGACCCTGCTAGATCACATGCCCCTTGCAGGCCGAAACTTGTCTTTATCCCTCTGTGCCCACTGAGTCCATTTGATGGCGCATAACGGTAGGGCGGTGAACGTCGACCTGAACTATTAATTACCGCTTTTACCTGTGAGCTGCTTCTTTTTAGGATATGGAGGCTCAGCAGGTTAGTGAAGCAGAAGCAGCAAGAGAACAGCTGCAAGATCTACAGGACCAGATAGCTGGGCAGAAAGCTTCCAAGCAAGAACTAGAGACAGAATTGGACCGACTGAAGCAGGTAAGGACCTTAGACTGATGATTGCTGAGGAGGACTGTCCTCTGATGGGTGTAGGAGGAGAACGGCTAGGAAACAACTTGCTGAAGTTCTCAGCCTGAGCTCCGAGTGCTCATGTGGACAGCACCTTACAGGTCTGCCCCACTTACTGTCCTACCCACCTTGTTTTGTGCTTTTTAACAGATGAAAATAGAGGTACGAGGTGGTGATTGACTTGCCTAGCACCTACAGCTACTTAGAGAATAGAACAGAACCCAGGATTTCTGTCTTAGAGCCCAGAAGTCCTTCTACTACCCTAGCTGTATTTTATTATCTCTCCTTGTCAGCGTATATTTGTATAGAAAACTTAAAAACACTCTATGTTAGACAGTTGAGTTTCAAAATTTATTACATTTGTACTTTATTAATTATATTTTTACAGTAAATATTTTTTCATAGAAATATAAATACAGGGCTAGCCCCATAGCACAGCAGTTAATTGCTATGCATAGCAATACAGGAAGTCAAAACCTCCCATGAAAGTATTGAAAGCAGACTAGACCTTACAGAAAATAGAATCTCAGCTATAGAAGATAGAATCGCTGACCTAGAAAAATCCACCACAAGGACTGAGAAAATTGCCAAAAAAAAAATGAGAGTAATATACGAGAAATACTAGATACCATCAAATATCCAAACATCCATATAACTGGTATCCCAGAAGACGAAGAGACTCATAAGGGCATCGAAATCTATTCCATGAAATCCTGGAAGAAAACTTTCTAAACCTAGAGAGGCATTCAAAGATCCAGCCCCAAGAAATACAAAGGACCCCAAATAGAATCAACCCAAGAAGATCTTCTCCAAGACACATTATTGCCAGACTGACCAAAATCACAGACAAAGAAAAGATACTAAGATTGGTAAGAGAGAAATGTCAAGTTACTTACAAAAAATATCCCATCAGGCTAACAGTGAACCTCTCATCGGAAACAATGCAAGCAAGGAAAGAATAGGAAAATATATTCAAAGTGTTAAGGGAAAAGCAATTTCAATCAAGAATACTGTATCCAGCAAGATTATCCTTCACATGGGATGAAGAGACAAGAACATTCTCAGATAAACAAAACCTGAAAGAACTTACCAACACCAGACCAACTCTCTAAGAAGTTCTGAAGGGAGTGCTATACCTGGAAAATTAAATTCAGACACATGGAAATAAGAATTCAAAAACTAAGAAAATGGCTAACTTAATCGCAGGGACAAGTCTGGAGTTGAATATTATATCCCAGAATTCAACTGGAAAGATCAGACCACAACAGAAGACAGATTATGTACATGTGACTGAACTGGTGAAATAGAATTTTATGACTTTTTTTTTTTTGAGAGATTCTCACTATAGGGCGCGTGCGCTTGCCAGACAGACAGAGACAGAGAGACAGAAAGCGATAAATCACCCCCCAGGGGGGATGGTCACACCACAGTCCCTTCTTCTCCATTCTCCTCTCGGGATCTTAAGCACGCACGCACACGCGTCCGGCGTGAGTTTTAAGCCACCGGGTCCGGGACGTAAACCGTGGTCAACTATGTGGGAGTCCAGCGACACAGCCATTACGCTAACTGCTGGTTCCCAAATTTTATGACTTTTGACTAAAAGGTTGCCAATTCTTCTTCTAGGCTTTGTTTTCCAGTTTTAAGAATTTTTGTCCTGACTTGAGCTGCTGATAGGTTCATGTACCTACTATTTGAACAGAATCCTGACCTGTTTCCTGGCTTTAAGTTTTAAGCAACATTCCTTAGCATTTGATTTATTAAAGCTAAAACTGCTTTTCCTGAAATTGAAAAATATATTAAAAAATACCTATTTAATGACTGTAGTAAGCTATATAGTATCACCTAAGTGCTACCTTGTACTATATTCATTCCACTCAGTTTCACACCTAAGGTCAGACATGTATTCACAGATATGTGTATATCAGCTGAACTTGCTATTGAAAGTAGCCAGGTTATTTGAAAAACTTGGTGAATCAATAAAATGTGTGGGAGCAGCAGTTAGTGTAATGGCTATGTCGCTGGACTCCCACGTAGTCGACCATGGTTTGAGTCCCGGACCCAGTGGCTTAAACTCCCAGCGGGCGTGTGTGCATGCTCAAGATCCCGAGAGGAGAATGGAGGAGAAGGGATTGCAGCGTGGCCATCCCCCCTGGGGGGTGATTTCTCGCTTTCTGTCTCTCTGTCTCGGGCAAGCGCACATGCCCTATAGCAAAAACCTCTACAAAAAAAAAAAAAAAGAATAAAATGTGTGGGGGGAAAGGAATGGAAAACAACTGTAGACACCAGAGATAGTGTGGGAAGGGGGTGGGAAATGGCAGAGGATGAAAAATAGGGGGAAATATATGTATATACATGTATATATATGAAGCTAGAAATGGAAAATTATCGATGATAAGATGTATGATTAAGTCACTATGCAGTATATTCTGGATGGGAAATCACATTTTGTATATTGTGACTATGTTCAGTGAATTCATGTAAATTAATTAATTTTTAAAAATTTTTTAAAAAGATTTTATTTTCGCTATAGGGCATGTGTGCTCGCGGAAGAGACAGACAGGAAATAAGAAATCACCCTCTGGGGGATGACCACACTGCAATCCCTTCTCTTCCATTCTCCTCTCAAGATTTTAGGCACACACACACACACGTGCCTGACATGAGTTTTAAGCTGCCTGGTTTGGGATCTGAACCATGTTTAACTACATGGGAGTCCAGTGATGTAACCACTATGCCATCTGCTGGTCCCAAGCTAGTGATATTTTAAGTTGCCAGATGGTGCCTATGCTCACCAGAAAGAAAGAGAGAGAGTGCACACTCCCCGTTCAGACATGGTCACACCACTACGCCTTCCCCTTCATTGTTCTATCCTGTCTGATTTGGGGTGAACATACACATACACGTGTGTCTGGCATGTTTTTTAAGTTGCCAGAGCCAGATTTTGAACCACAATCTCCCATGTGGGATCTAGCTCCCATAACCACTAGACGACAAGGCCAGCTGTAGCTACTGATTTTTTATAAATCATTTTGTACTCCACCACCTTAATGAATTCTTAACTGTTTTTCTTTATTTTCTCATGTACTTTGTCCATTTTCCTATGGCGACTTTTGGCTTGTTTTTAAAAATCTGTATTATTAGAAGTCAAAGAAAGGAAAGAAAGAACAAAACCTTGTTGCTTCAATCCTTAGAAAAAGGATTCTATATTTACTAAATATTTATTGCGTGCTTTCTATGTCCAAGATAATAGACATAATAATACCAGTCTTTTTTATGTATGGTATGAATTCTTTCCAGTTTGTTCTCATTATTGTTATTATGTTCCTGAGATTCTTGAAAGGGTGGCACATTCTACCTCACTGCCACAAGATAATACTTCCTCTGTGTTTTTGGTGATAGAGCCTTTTAGCGGTCCTTTATGGGCCTGTATTTATAACATCATGCCAAATATTCCGCTTTCATCAGATCCATCCAATCTGTTCATTTATTCATTCTATACACACACGCTCTCTCTCACAGTAAGTGCCCACTAGTCAGGCACTGTTTCAGGTACTAGGGATCAGGTAGGGAACACTGATTAGCATCTACTTACTCATGCCTCACTTTATAGGAATTCCACTATGTAGAAGAAGATCTGTATCGGACAAAGAACACGTTGCAAAGCAGAATTAAAGATCGAGAAGAAGAAATTCAAAAGCTCAGGAATCAGGTATGAACGAGTATTCACAACTTGGGAAAAATGTGATTGTAAAGTGACATTTCTTTTAAAGGATGCAGTAAGCCCTCCTTTTCCCATATTTTCATTTGAGTTCTATTGGTATAGTAAGGTAAGTTATTTTCAGCCTGGTGTAGAATTGCCGTCTGATGCCGTCTGAGGCTAATTTTGCTATACATAGCTTACTTCTTACAGAAGTAGCTTGTAGCAAGAGTCACTTGAGGAGATGAGAAGCACCCTCAAATTTCGTACCTTCTGATCCCAGTGTGGTTGTGCTGATGGCAAGCTTCATACTGTGGTTTCTTTTCCCTAAGGAAAATCCAGTGAACAGTCGATAGATCTTTCAACTCTGAAAGTATTAAACATACAGAAAATAATGACACGCATCTGCCTACCAACCTGATTTACCAAAGCCTCTATCCTGCAGGGATGGAACCAAGCCCCCACTCACTCTAACATTGTACACGGCCTTTCCTCCCTTACAGTTGTACTGACTTGGTATATAATGGGCCCTTTAATCACTCAAATAATTTACATGAACATTCTTCATTTTTTAGTTAGCTAATGACTTACTTTGAACCTTAAGAACGCAAATAATTTTAGTCTTTTAAGTTCTCAGACTTGATAGTAGTCCATAATTTAAAATGTAAAATATTTTGTCTTATCTTTTAAGAATTAACAGCTGACTGATAGGAGTGTTCCCTCCTCCTCCTCCCTGCATCTGTGAGATGATGTAATGTGATTTGCCAGCCCAACCAAAGTCGAAGGAAGGAAGGAACAAAACCACTAACTGGTTTAATCCTTAGAGGAAGGATTTGTGTTTACTAAACATTTATTGAGTGCCTTCTGTGTCTAAAATATGGTGCCATTTTTGTTGATCAAGAATTAACCATAGGAGGATTTCTCTTAAAGATTTTTCAACTAATTAGAACAGAGGAAAACCCTAGTCTTTGAAAATTGACTTACACAGTTTGAAAGACATCAGCCACTCACTACATTAAAAAAAATAAAAACCTCAAAATCAGAATGAGGGGGCTGGCAGGTGGTGTGGTGGTTAAGGGCACTGGACTCCCACATGGCCCCTGGACCTGGGGGCTTGCTTTTTTGCTTTCCCTCTCTCTCTCGCTCACTTGCTCTCTTTTGCTCTACCCTTCTCTGGGGTAGAGAGACTAATTAAAAATAGATGAAGAAATAAATAAAGTTAAATAAAATAATTCTTTTAAAAAATCAGAATGAATGAATTATTTTATTTTATTTTATTTTATTTTATTTTATTTTTTTTAGGTTTTTGCCATAGGGTGTATGTGCTCCCAGGGTAGACAGAGACAGTGAAAGGGAAAGTGAGAAATCAGTCTTGGGGGGGTGACTACACCACAGTCCCTTCTCCTCCATTCTCCTTCTGAGATTTTGAGTACACATGCATATGGTGCCCGATGGGTATTTCAGGCCTCCAGGTCTGGGACTCAAACTGTAGTTGGTCTTGTGGGAGCCCAGCACTTTAGACACCACACCACCTGCTGGTTCCCAGAATGGGTTAAGATTTATTTTGAATGAAGAAAAAAAAATGCTGCTTCTGCTTATCTTATTATCTTTGGGCCTCCTGAGAGAACAATATGTTGGTTAAAATAAAGTGAGGTTGCCAGTTTTAAATTTTTTTTATTCTTTAAAAGCTATCATATGGGGGAACCAGCAGTTAGCATAATGGCTATGTCGCTGGACTCCCACGTAGTCAACCGCGGTTTGCGTCCCGGACCCGGTGGCTTAAAACTCACGCCAGGCGCGTGTGCATGCATGCCCAAGATCCCGAGAGGAGAATGGAGGAGAAGGGATTGCGGCGTGGCCATCCCCCCTGGGAAGGTGATTTCTCGCTTTCTGTCTCTCTGTCTCTCTCTGTCTGTCTGGCGAGCGCACGCGCCCTATAGCGAAAATCTCTCCAAAAAAAAAAAAAAGCTATCATATGGGAATGGATAAAAACATATGGAAAAAATAAATCTTAATCTTTTTCTCCTAATCAGATTTGTAAAGTTAACAAAAATTAATTTAGAAAGAAACTAGGCCTGAGTATCAGGGAATTTTTTTGCAATTTAGAAGAAGACAGATTTCATAGAGAAATCATTAAAAAGTGCTAATGATAGAAGAAAAAATATAATAAATTAGAATTCATTAAAATTATAGTTGTTTGCTCATCAAAAGACATTATTGTGGGCCAGCAGTGGCATGGTGGACTCCCATATGGCCAACTGCAGTTTCAGTCCTGGATCTGGCAGCTTGAAAATCACAGCACATGTGCATGCGTGCCCAAAATCCAAAGAAGAGAATGGAGAAGGGACTGCAGCATGGCCATCCCCCAGGGAGGTGATTTCTCCCTTCCTGTCTGTCTCTCCAGCGAGCACATGTATCCTATAGCAAAAATCTCTCTCTAAAAAAATGTTTAAAAAGAATAGGCAAAACTAAATCCTGGTAATAAAAAAATCAAGACCAGTGGTTGTCTGTGGTGTGGAATCATTCTCTATTTGGATCTGGGTGTTGGTTACATAGTTACACATTAATCAGAACTCACATGCTTAAGGTATAGGTGTTTCACCATATGTGCATTTTCTCTTGACTCAACAATGCTAATAGTTGGAGTAAGTTGATTATAGGGGATTGCAATATAATCTTAAAATTGAGCCTTTTTTTTTTTTTTAGAGAGGTTTTCGCTATAGGACGCGTGCGCTCTCCAGACAGAGACAGAGAGACAGAAAGTGAGAAATCACCCCCCAGAGGGGATGGTCATGCCGCAATCCCTTCTCCTCCATTCTCCTCTTGGGATCTTGGGCACGCACGCACACGCGCCCGGTGTGAGTTTTAAGCCACCAAGTCCAGGACGTGAACCACGGTCGACCATGTGGGAGTCCAGCGACATAGCCATTACGCTAACTGCTGGTTCCCAGAGCCTTTTTTTTTTAAACAGTAAGTAAATTGTAGTTTGTACTCCATGTAATTCCATTTGGTCATTGTGAACCTAACTCTGGGAGTGCAATAAGGGATTCAGAAGGAAGAAAGCTAATTTTAAAAAGAATATTATTTATATAATTTTATTCATTTATTCATTTAATTTGACCAGAGAGAGAGGGAAAGTGAGAAAGCAAACCACCAAGTCCAGGACTCGAACCATGTGGGAATATCCAGTGCCTTAACCACCACGCTACCTGTTGGTCCCAGAAAGTTAATTTTAGAAATGCTTACGTATTACAGGTACTATGTTAGATGTGTTATATGTTATTTCATTTAGTAAGCATCATAGTCTGTGACCAAGGAAATGGAGACAGATTGGGTAGCTTTCTCAAGACTGTAGCTAGGGGCTATAAACTTGGGTTGAACTGTTGGCCTCTTTCAAAACCGAGCTGATGAAGAGGGGTTCTTGTTTCACGGAGCTGACTTTTTTGCCACCTCAGTGAATTTAGGGTGTTATCAGAGTAATGAGTGTATGCGCAGACGCAGACGCTTGGGAATCTCAGCAGGAGGGAAGGCAAGTGAGGAAGTCTGAGATCAGAACAGGCTAGAGCCATGGGAGAGGATGTCAGTGAAGAGGCCTTGAAGGCAAGTAGAGCCCAGATAGGGGCAGGGGGGCTGCAAGGGGAGTTGTCCCGGCAGGGAAGTGTGACCAGGAAAGCAGAGGCTGAAGAAATGTTGACGGACAAGATCAAATAGAAGATGGAACAAAGGAAGTTGTCAGCCAGACCCTTCCTGAAAAACTCGTTTCAAACCCCTGCATGCCATGTGCACCAGGTGCTGCTGTCCTCTCCACACGAGGAGAGATTCATAGAGGTAGAGCAGTTCGTTCAGAGTCAGAAAGCTAGAAAGTTACAGAGCACAGATGAAAACCCAAGGCCATGGTCTTCGCACTGCAGCACAGCTGTTGTATTATGGAGGGTTTCGAATTTCTACCAAAAAGTCTGAACTGTGTCCTATAAACTCATGCTTTCAAATATTTTTGACCATGATGCCATAGCAAAAAACCAAGCAACAAACAAAAAATCGTTTACATCACATCTTTCACACACGCACATACCAGACCCAAAAGTTTTACAGAACACTGTCACATATGGCATGTATAAATGGCAGAATATGGTCTCCCATTCTATTGTAATTCATTTTCTTTTTTTTTTTTTTTTTTGGAGAGGTTTTTTTTTTTCGCTTTAGGGCGTGTGTGCTCGCCAGACAGAGAGAGACATAGAGACAGAAAACAAGAAATCACCCCCCAGGGGGGATGGTCACGCCGCAATTCCTTCTCCTCCATTCTCCCCTCAGGATCCCGGGCACGCATGCACACGCGCCCGGCGTGAGTTTCAAGCCACCGGGTCCGGGACACGAACCGCAGTCGACCACGTGGGAGTCCAGCGACATAGCCATTACGCTAACTGCTGGTTCCCCTATTGTAGTTCATTTTCTTAATGCTGATTTGTGACTCACCAATTCCATTTTTTGACCATTAATATAGCTTGAAAATTGCTTCTGTAGACAGTGAAAGAATCATTAGAATTTTGAGAAATCAGTTCCACAGGCTACCTGTGAAAATGTAGTAACATGCTTTGTGTGTTGTGTGACTCTCATCTTATGTAATTCATGAACACTTTGCCTTTCAGCTTACCAATAAGACTTTAAGCAACAGCAGTCAGTCCGAGTTGGAAAATCGGCTCCATCAGCTGACAGAGACGCTCATCCAGAAGCAGACCATGCTGGAGAGCCTCAGCACGGAAAAGAACTCTCTGGTCTTTCAGCTGGAGCGCCTCGAGCAGCAGATGAGCTCTGCCTCTGGAAGTAGCAGCAATGGATCGTCTATCAGCATGCCTGCCATCGACAGTGGTGAAGGTAACCAGAAACAAGGACTCTCAGAAGAATCTTCAATTCATTTCATGGCCTAATTTCCAACCTTGCTTATTCAGACATGATTTTAAAGAGTGACAGACCATTTTAATTTGAGAAGAAACCTCATTCAGTGAAGGGCCTAATTTTCTCCTGATGGGAGACCTGGGCTATCTCTATTTAATGTCGTCATTAGGGAACTGGAGAGTGGATTAATTAATAACCCTTATAGTACTGGACTTGGAGGAAGGAGGTCTGAGGATTAGTAATCATTGATATGTGCAAGATACTTAACAAGATGATGCTGACAAAGTAAATAATTCAATAGAAAGGAGCTTTTAGGAAACACGAAGCAAGATCTGCTTTAATAATCTTCCAGTAAATAATTGTAATTATTAAAGCTAATATGTAGTTCACATAAGTACATCCATGCTCTGTAATTTTAATGGAGAAATCTGGAGATTCCCAAAATACATCATCAAAATGATGTTACTTTGTCAACATAACAGGTTTTTCATCTTAGAATGATGGTCTCTCAGTTCTTTGGCTTTTTTTTTTTTTAATTAAAAGCATTTTTTAAGAGATGCAGAATACCAGGTGTAGGGGTGGAATTAAAATTGAATCAGGACAGTCAAAGAGGAGACCTGATTGAAAGTGGCACTTGACTGCGGGAGGTAAGGGAGCAAACCCTGAGCAGGCCTAAAGGAAGGTGTTCCTGGCAGAGAGAAGAGCAGGCAAGAGGCCCCGAGGCAGGCGTATTCCTGGAATGTCTGAGGAAAGACAGGAAGGACAGTGCAGCCAGAGTGGGCCGAGTGAGGGGAGAGTAGTGTACGGTGCATTAGAGAGCACCAAGAGGTTAGGCCTGTGTGGCGACTCATTCAGAATAAGGTGGAAGCCTTCGAAGGGCCTTGACAGGTGACTGATCTGACTGGCGTGTTAGTAGGATGCCCGGCTGTGTCTCGAGAATAGTCTGCAGAGCGCTAGGAGCAGAGGCGGGGACACCAGCTGGGAGCCATTGCGTTAATCCATTTGAGGGTTGGGGATCTAGACCAGAGAGGGGTTTAGGGGTGGATTAAGGATTTACTTTAAAGGTGAGCTGACTGTGTTGGCACATTGGATGTGGAGTTTGACAGAAAGGAAGGAAGAAGGTTCTTGGCCTGAGCAGATGGAAGGATGGAGTGGTCGTGTACTGAGATAGAGAAAACAGCAGGAGAGGCAGGTTGACAGAGAGATCAGGAAGTTGGAATCATGGGGTTGGGATCTAAGTGAGGTGTCCGTGAGACAGCAGGGGGAGACGAATTGGCAGCAGGATGAGGCTGGGGCGTGGGGTCCTCGGGGTTGTAGAAAGGTGTCTGGCCTCACTCCTACTAACATGTGAGCAGTGGGCCCATCGACTCTCCCCAGGACTTGATATTTGTAAGCTCTTTAATTTTTGCTAGAATCGTCTTATCAGTTTTCTTTTGGTGGATATGGAAGTGTAAACATTTTGTACAATAAATTTGCTTATCTTTTCATTATGGTTTCATGTACACTGGCCGTTGTAATGCTTACAAAATTGGCTCTGAGAACTATTTCCACGTATACTGCAATGTGTTTCTGACTGTAATTGTCTTAGATAGGTGGTTTTGGTGTTAGTACACTAATTTATTTACTTATTTTAATAGGCACACGTCTGCGAAATGTTCCTGTTCTTTTTAATGACACGGAAACGAATCTGGCAGGAATGTATGGAAAAGTTCGCAAAGCTGCTAGTTCAATTGACCAGTTTAGGTAAGCGGTGTGGACCACAGCTGTCTACACAATGTTCTCTGGAACTTCAGCCACAGTGAGTCCCATCAGGCAGAGCAGATACTTCAAGTGACATTTACCAAATCCTTTTCATGATATTTCAGTGTCATGAAATTGCTTCAAGAGGTGCCTATGTCTCCATGTCATTGCAGATGGTTAACCCTGACCATTGCTTTCCTGCCTAAAAACTCTTTAAACCTTATTGAGAAAGCTTCCATTTCATGTAGTGTCCATTTTGAATGTTTTATCCCATTTTACATCCCATTTACATTTGAATGTTTAGTATTTTATCATGTAACTAAAATGGAAGATGCTACCATTTATAACTGATCAATACTTATTTTAATATTGGGCTGTTGGAAAAGTCATGATGTATTTTTCTATGCAAATATGCATCATGACTTTTCCAACAACCCAATATATCATATATTACATACATATTTACTTTATATGTTATACATATTTATATACAGATCTTTTTTACCAGCAGACATCTACCTTATAAGAAAATGTCCTAAAAGTTTGCATATAGTCTTGATAAAAGTTCATGTCCAGCAGGTGGAATAGTGGTTAATGTGCTGGACTCCCACATGACCGACGGCAATTCGAGTCCTAGACCCAGCAGTTTGAAATTTACACTGGGAATGTGTGCATCTGTACCCGAAATCCTGAGAGGAAAATGGAGGAAAAGGGATTGTGGCATGGCCATCCCTCCTTGGGGGTTATTTCTCTCTCTCTCTCTCTCTCTCTCTCTCTCTCTCTCTCTCTCTGGCAAGCACATATGCCTTGTAACAAAAATCTTTCTCTAAAAAAAGAAAAAAGTTCATGTCTAAATAACCTACTATATACCCTTTTCCTTTTTAGTGTTATAATGAAACACTTTTAATAAATTCTGCATAGTAATCTTAACTTTTTGTGTCAGAATAGAGCTATGTTAACACCATAGCTCTGTTAAAAATAATACACTAAGATTCCTGAAGCAGTGTCAGGTTAAACACATGTATTTCAGCTTCGTTTATTCAAGGTACACCGTGATCCTTAGAGAACCTGTGTTCAGTGCTGTGCTAGAAGGCAGTGAAAGGAGCAGAGGGCCAATGTGCATGTACACGGATCCATCCTGATAGGGGCCGAAGGCTGCAGAGAGGCCTGAAGGATGATGTCTGCACTTCATACCTCGTGCTACACATACTTATTCAAGTGCTCTTACTTGAAATTCTATAGCTCTGCAGCTTACAGGGGCACGTATGAGGGCTTTTCACAGAAGATGCATGATTTTAAATGTTTTAATTCAGAATAAACTCATATATTCCATTTCATTCCATTTTCCCATGAACATTTTGAAGTCCTCTCATGTCTATTCAAAAGCTTCCAGATTAGCTATTTGTAGGTGCATGCCAACCAGACTCTGTTTATTCCTAGTCACAAGATTGACACCCATCTTAGCTTTTGTATTCTTTGTATTTCCTAAAAGAACAATGATTTAGAGAAGGACCAGGTTTGCCTCCTAAAATTGTGGTCAGAGAATTAAGAGAAATAGTTTGTGCAAAACTTTAACAGCCAAGCACCAAGTAATGCTAAAAGTATTTGTTTACTACTATAATATTTCTGTATTTGTATTAATTCAGTCATGGGCTAGCAGGTGATGTGGAGGTTAATGTGGCAGGATCTGACATGGCAGACACTGCAGTTCAACTCCTGGACCCGGTGGCTTGGAAAACTATGCCCAGCACATGTGCATGCATGCCCCAAATCTTGAGAGGTAGCAGGAGAAGGGATTGTGACATGGCCATCCCCCTGGGGGGTGATTTCTCACTTTCCCCTCTCTCTCTCTCTCTCTCTCTCTGGTGAGTGCATGCACCCTATAGCAAATTTTTTTAAAAAATCATTTAAGGGACCAGCAGATGGCGTAATGGTTACATTGCTGTACTCCCACATAGTCAACTGCGGTTCGAGTCCTGGATGCAGTTGGCTTAAAACTCACTCTGGGCATGTGTGCATGCATGCCAAAAATCCCAAAAGGAGAATGGAGAAGGGATTGCGGCATGGCCATCCCCCCTTGAAAGTAATTTCTTATTTTTTTGTCTCTGTCTCTCCAGCGAGCACATGCGCCCTACAGCAAAAATCTCTCTCAAAAAAAAAAAAATTTAGTAACATATTATAAAGTCACTCTTCTGTGATTGCCAAATAGGTTATTTAAACGAATGAAAATATCATTCGATATTACCACAGGAAGATTCGTTTCGAGTGTAACTGTCTCTCCTCCTCTCTTCCTACCCCATTCTCTTTGCACAGTATCCGTTTGGGAATTTTCCTCCGAAGATACCCCATAGCACGAGTTTTTGTAATTATATATATGGTAAGTGAATTTGTTTGAAAAAATAGTGCTTCCCTTGATTTTTAGCCAGTCGGGTTTTTTGTTGTTGTTGTCATTGTGGGTTGGTAATCTTACTGATTTTTTAGCGATCAGTTTTCAAAGAGTAGAACTCATTTTTGTTAATTATGATTTGCTTCTTAGATTATAAATGAATAATTCATTACGTATGAACATGAACAAAGTCTTCTCAGCTACAAATAAAATTAACTTTAGTGTAGTTCAATAGTTACTTCCATTCTAAACCCCTCTAATGTTATAAATACAATGTAGAGGCAACCAATTTCATTTTCTCTTGATGTTGTAAAGTTTCTTTAATATTTTTCATGGGCTTTGCTTCATTTTCTGAGAGGCTCTCAAGACTGACTTATTTTCTTCTAGATTTCTTAGCTAAGAGATGGTTAAAGTAGTTCGAGATGTCACTTCCGGTGTCTGAATACTCGGAGTAGTGTATCTGCTGGCGGCTGGCTTGAATGAAGATGGGCCATTTTCTTGAATAGAAATATAAGGCTACTTAGAAAGATGCTTTCAGGCCAGGTAGGGATATGGTGATCAAGACAGCTGGATCCCACATGACCCACATGTAGTTAGAGGCCCAGACCCGGCAGCTTGGAAAGTGCGTGGGTGCCCAAAATCCCAAAAGGAGGGAGAAACGGAGGAGGGTTGCAGTGTGACCATTCCCCATGGGGGGTGCTCTCTCACTCTGTGTGTCTCACTGTCTCTCCTTGGCAAGTGTACACACCGTCTGGCAAATTAAAAAGAAAGAAGGAATGGAATTTTCCCTGTGATCCACTAGAGGGAAGAGTTATTCTTCTGAATAAAAAGTTTTAAAGGAGGGAAGGATAGGGAGAACGTCAGCAACAAAACTGAATGTCGGCAGAAAAGATCCTGAATATGCTTCTACAGGGGTGATTTCCCAGGCACTAGGCATTACGGGTAAAACGGGCCCCATCTGCCAGCAGGAAATGTGGTTTCTTGCACACTGAAGTAGCAAGGCTCTTAGTGGTAGAATTTCACATCATTTCAATACCTCTATGAGGAAACTAGCTGGATTTTAACACTGTGGGTTGTGTATTAGACCCTAAATCAGCCTCTGAAACTTGACACGTTAGTCCTGTTGAGGAATGTTGACCAGATCTTAACTACATTCTCTTTCAAAACATCAAGCATGACTGTTCCTAAAGCCCTTCTTGCCAGCTTCGTGTGTGTCAGGCAGTTTTAATTACGCCCCCTACCCTGCCTCACAGTCACCTGCTTGGTTTTCTGCCTACGTAGGCCTGTTGTGAATGTGTTTACATTCACTCCTCTGCGCTGAGAATTCTGTAGTATAGCAACCCTTCATTACTCTCAGTGCACGCAGCTCAGTTCATCGTTTGTTGGTTCATTCCTCCCCTCATTATCCAGTAAACATGGACTGAGCCCTGTAATAGTGTAGACACAGAGTGTCCTACAGGGACAGGGAGCTCGTGGTTCATGCCCTCAGTGCACTATCCCATGGGCCTGTGGTAAAGACAGACTGGCTAATCCGTAACTGTTTTTCTTTCTTTAGGCTTTGCTTCACCTCTGGGTCATGATTGTGCTGTTGACTTACACACCAGAAATGCACCGTGACCAACCGTACAGCAGATGAACTGAGCCCGGTGGCTTCGGCGATTGGCTGTCTTCTTCTGAACATGGGATCTGCCTAAAATTCCTGAGGAGGGTGCACAGGATGGCTTTAGCACTACAACCGTTAACTTTTTAAGTTATTATATAGGTTCTCTGCCACCTAAATCTCCCTCTTCTGTCCTCCAGATGATGCGTTTCTAAAACAGTTTAACAAGCTCAGCTCTGCTTTTTCTGAGTTCACCAGTCCTCGTGTGTACGTATAGACAGAGGGAGAGGAGAGAGAGGCTGGGTTCACTCTGTACAGACCTCCCTGTTCGTTAGGTGACACTGATTGTGGGCTATAATCAGGGAAACTAATTGTATTTAGTGAGAAAAATAAAAAGTCTTCTTTTTTGATAATTCAGTCTGCTTTTATATTTTCATATATTTAACTTTGCAAATAGATGTTTACTTTTTACATGTTAAAGGCTGGTGTCAATCTTTGTATGTACATAAATAAAATTGACTGTGTAGTTTTCTTTTTTTTAAGAATAAAGATTTTTTTTGATCTCCAGTAAAAAAAAAACCTTAGCAGGTGGACTTTGGTGAGTAGAGCCCTCACTCGCAGCTGGAGTCACCGTGTGCGACTGAGCAGCCCCGGCTCAGCCCGGCTCAGCCCCGGTGCTGTCTTCCTTTGATTCTTGGTCATTCGCTCATTGCCCTCCTCCTTTTCCCCTTTTCTCCAGGTGATACTTGGGTTAACTTCTGACACCTAGAGCCCCCACTTAACAGCATTTTGGAATCAAGTCTGTTTTAGCAACTTTGTGTTTTTAAACACTCTAATGCAGAAATACTACAGCGTTCTTTGAAGAGAGACATTTTCTTTGACTGAAGTTCAGTATAATGTCTGTTTTGATTTTCCTTTTCATCAACATGTCTGAATTCTTAAATCATTTGTGGCCTGGTGGTGTCTCTTCATGTGGAATTAATATACTTAGGGTTTGGGATGTGCAAGGTGCATTCCTTCCTCTCTGAAGCAGTCTACTTGGGGCCTAACAAAACCGACCAGAGTTCCTATCCTTATGATAGCTCTACCACGACTCTAATTGGCATTAACCCCTGTAAATCTTACCACAGTTTTTTTTTTTTTTTTTTTGGAGAGGTTTTCGCTATAGGGTGGGTGCGCTCGCCAGACAGAGACAGAGAGACAGAAAGCGAGAAATCACCCTCCAGGGGGTATGGTCACGCCACAATCCCTTCTCCTCCATTCTCCTCTCGGGATCTTGGGCACGCACACACACGCGCCCGGCGTGAGTTTTAAGCCACCAGGTCTGGGACGCGAACCGCGGTCGACTACGTGGGAGTCCAGCGACATAGCCATTACGCTAACTGCTGGTTCCCATCTTACCACAGTTTTGATACACTATTAGCTATGTTTCTTGTTTTTCTTCAGAAAATGAAGTGGTTTTTTTTTTTAAAGCTTTTTGCTATAAGGGCGGGTGAGCTCACCAGAAAGACAGAGAGACACAGAGAGACAGAAAGCGAGAAATCACCCTCCAGGGGGTATGGTCACGCCACAATCCCTTCTCCTCCATTCTCCTCTCGGGATCTTGGGCACGCACACACACGCGCCCGGCGTGAGTTTTAAGCCACCAGGTCTGGGACGCGAACCGCGGTCGACTACGTGGGAGTCCAGTGACATAGCCATTATGCCAACTGCTGGTCCCCAGAAAATGAAGGTTTAAAGGTAATCTGAAGTGTGTTTGGGCTTCCTTTTCAGCTTGGCATGAATGAAAAAGGGAGCACATCCCACATCATATAAAAGTAGCCACTTGGAGTGGCTCCCTGAGACACTGCTAAATGGGTGTAGGGTTATGTCAGTTCCTCCTCAGGTGTGGCAGGCCTTCAGTGTCTTAGTGGTGAAGTCTGATCTCAAACAGCAAAGTGAGAGTACAGCCGTGGCCCAGCCTCTGGTGCGGCTGGCGGCGTACTGGCCTGCAGAGCTGTAAGCCACACGCTAGCTGTGGTTCGAATTCTCAGCCTGGTCTGCCTGAAAGCACGGTATGCCCAGGACCCCGGTGGGTTGGAGAGCCAGAGAAGGGGGTTGGCGGCATGACCAAGCGGTGAGGAGGGTGCTTTTCTCTCCTGCACATGCTCTCATTAATTAACCCAGAAAATGGTTTAGTCTTGTGTATTTCCAAAGTTTTTTTTTTTTTCTTTTCTAATTTGGAAATATTTCTGGAAAAATGATTAAAACCAGGTTTTATACTCAAAATGGAAAACAGTACATGCTTTATCCTCATGTATTGCCAGACTTTCTGTCTCTGTGTAAGTCCTGGCTCTTGTTGGGAAGCCTCTAAATCTTTTGTTCAGTCTTACACATTCTTGGCTTTGGAAATAGTTTGACAGTATGTTTCCGGGATCATTTTTCCAGTTACTTAAATCCTTAATTGGGTTTCAGTTTCAGTATTCTTGACCACTAGCAAACCATTTACTTATCCTGGTACATGAAACCTTCTTGACCCAATTAAAGGGGTTTCATGAGAGCCAAGTGTTTTCCTTCTCTGTCCAATGTATTTCCTAGATTTTTTAAGTCCGTATATGCATGCATGTCTGTATGTATAGGCGTACACATGTATATCCACACACATATGTAGTCAGAGCTCCTCTACTGCTTTGCATTTTAGGTGTCAAATGGAAAATCTGATTATTTAAAAATTCCCCTTTCTGTAGCCTTTGCACTTACTGAAAACTCATTTTATTGCTGCAGGACAAAACCTTAAAAGGAAAAGTGTAGATATTGTTAAAATATGGTGGAAATGGGCTTACCTCTTAGTTCTGCACATGAAGGCATGAAGTATCTGGCTGGGCAGTCGGGCTTTGTTCATGCAGAAAACCCCACTCTGTAGGAGCGGGAAGCTGCTCAGGTAGGCCTCATGGCTCCGCACCCTGTTGCAGGCCGGCCGAGTGCTGGAAGCGGCCTGCGTGGGCAACCTGATCTGCGTGGAAGTAGAAAGAAAGAACTGGTAGAGCCAGAGAGGACAGTGGAGGACTAACTCCACCCCGTAATGTGCCAGGGCACTTCAGGCTGGACTGGCCGGAGGAGAGACAGGACTGAGAGGTGTCTGGCCCTTAAGCACGCACCAGAGCTGGTGCTGTTCCTGGGAGAGAAGACCTGGGCAAGGGATTCTGCTTCCACACTCCTAACTGGTGACCTGCTTTCCAGACTGTAAGCCCTGCGCATACAGCACAGGGAGCTGATCCCATGTGGCTGACTGCAGTTCAAATCGCAGCCCCAGCAGCTTGAAAAACACTGGGCATGTGTTCCTGCGTGCCCCAAACCCCGAGAGGGAGAAATGGATTGCAGTATGACCACGCCCCATGGGGGAGTGCTTTCTCTCTCCCCTCTGGTGAATACACATGCCTTCTGGCAATGAAAATAAAAAGAACAAGAAGTGCAAAGCCTCTGAAGGGGAGCCAGCTTGATGTGTTAGGAAATGAAAACCACAAGGAGGCCATTGTAGCCAGGCAGACTATGGAGCGGGGAGTGGGGTGTGGAGCCAGCTCTGCAGGGACCCGTAGGCGAGGTGAGGACTCAGGATTAAAAGTCCCTTTCTTAGTAACCCCGCTTCCCCTTGACATCACCACCTTTAAGCAGGAAAAACCCTTTTTAAAATAACGTGATTTAGAATCTATAGACAGTTGCTCCACTTGGTAAATGCCAGACAGTAATAATTTGTCTTGTTGACGTAAGGACAAGCTGTAAACCTGAGACGTCATGCTCTTGTATACAGACCAAGAATATAAAATCAGTGAAGTTGTAGGTTCTCCTATAACATTTTGGTCTTTGCATTCCTATTAACCTCCCATCTTTGTTCAGACAGGAAATGAAACCCAAGAGGAGAGCTATTTGTGTCCCCCAGCCATCGACTGGCTAGCCTTGATGTGACTCGCTGCTGGCATTACCACTGTCATGCTGTCAGAGCACAGATGTCTTTGGACACTCCTGACCCCTTAAGAGGAATGCCACTACTTTCTTTTAGCCACTATTGTGTCTCCAGTGCCTAGAACAGTGCCTGGCACATAATCAGCCTGTGATCAGTGTTCACTGAACTCTGCTGATAAAACACTAAGGTCACACATGACTCCTCTAAAGCTTCTTAGGCCATAACTCAGCATCTCTTGTCTAAAACCATAGCAAAGAAGAGAAATGAAAACTGGTAGGTGGCATGGTGGTTAAGGCTCTGGACTCCCATGTGGCCGACTATGGTTCAAGTCTCAGACCTGGTGACTTGCTTTCTCACTTGCCCTCTCTCTCTCTCTCTCTCTCTTTCACTCTCACTCTGTCCCTCTCTGGTCAAATTAAAATAAATAAAGTTAAATGAAATAATTCTAAAAAAAAATTAAGAGATGAGACAGTTGGCTGGGTACATTTTCAGTATGGTGGATTTAGATTTGGCAGGACTTCTCTGAAGAGGAAAATGCCATAAGAATTTAAAACACAAAAGCCTAAGTCTACCCGAAGATATCACTGGTCATAGATGTTCACAGTTGTCCATTCAGGGTGAGTTTTGGTCGCTTCCCAAAGGCAGGTAAGAGACATGGGAGTGGAGGGAGGGCTTCTGGGAGCAGCAAGATGCTTAGATTCAGCTTTGCAAAGCCACACTTAGCTATTAAAATGAGGTTCTTTCCTCTCAGCTCCCCCATGTCTCTCCCCACAGCTGCTTAGCTTTTTGCCTTGCAGCACAAGTTTCACTGGGTTTACATAAAGTCGTAAGGCTTAGGCATGTCAGCTTACCAACTATCAGGAATTTGCTTTAACTCAAACATGGCTTAAGTCTTTTTTTAAAAAAAAGATTTATTTATTTATTTATTTCCATTTGTTATTATTATTATTATTTTTAAATTTGATCAGAGACAACGAGAGAAAGAAGAGGAAAGTGAGAAAGCAAGCTGCCAGGTCCGGAACTTGAACCGTGGTCGACTATGTGGGAATCCAGCGCCTTTAACCACCGGACCACCTGCTGGCCCATGGCTTAAGTCTTAAATCCAAGAATTGGTGAAAATCTAGAATATAATCAAGGCTGGAACATGCATTCTGAAAAGGGCTGGTATTATCCCCAAGGGGGTGAGGACTGATTTTTAGGAGGACGAAAATACCTGAACTGTTCTTCTATACAAAGCCTAGATATGCATGCCGTACATAACAGTGTATCCGTGGTGGTAAGATTTTAAGGTAGGGTATGGTAATATCTTTGTCTGAACTAACAGACAGTGTAGGTTAGTTATTATTTGGGAAAATTCATTTTGTATGCCATCATGATATACAGTGATTGAATGAAAAATAAAATTAAAAAAAATTTGTGGTAGGGTAGTAATCATGAAAAAAACAAATCGAGAAACACAGCGTTAGAATGATA